ATTCCTTTGGGTATATACCCAAGAGTAGGATTACTAGATCATATGGCAGATCTATGTTTAGATTTTTAAGAAGCTTCCAATTATTTTTCCAGAATGGTTACACCAGCTTGCATTCCCACCAGCAGTGTACAAGGGTTCCTTTTTTCCCCACAAGGGATCTCAAATTTAAGGTCAGCCTGGACTACATAGCTAGACCCTATCTCAAAAAAAGTTTTTTTCATAGTAAAATTAAATTCCTAAAGTTATTAATTTTTAATCTATGTAGCTAGCTGTAGATACCAGAACATCAGAGGGTCTTACTTACTGCAGTGTCCAGGGGTACATTTGTCTTCCACTGACTTAAAACCATCTTAACTCTGGTTCCTAAGCTTTGGGTTAAAGAGGATAAGGCACTGATTCAGAGCCCTGGTGTGGGTACAGGTATGCCTGGATTCTGGTTCTTGTTTTGTTACTAATTTTGCGACATTGCCTTTCCCATTTATAAACCTTATCTGTATAAATACTGGGGTAAACTTGGAGGCTGTTTTGACCATTGAAATTTTATAATTTATATAAATTACACATAAAATTTATATTTGAAATGTTGAATAGACTAGTGACTGGATGCTCCTTTTTAAAATAATTGTGGAGCTAAAGGAATGCATGGGATGGACCTAGAGAAAGAAGATTAAATATACGTGTAGGGAAATGAGACCTGTGTTAGGTTTTGCCTTTGCCACTTACTATGGGCCTCAGTTTGCTGAAACGCTCTCATTTTCTACTTCTTAAGATGGAAATCATAATAAATACTGTCTCCCTCAATTCAGGAGGATCAAATGAGAAAACAATATTATTGTCACAGTTGTTGCAAATCAGTACTGAACTGTTCTATCGGGAGAGGTACTTAGCCAACTCGCAGACAGCTAATGGCAGCAGTTGTCCAAAGATGGAATGAGCACCATATGCCAGTCTTTCTCTGAGGACCTAATTATCTAGGTAGCTATTTCTAGTCTAAATGATGCCACATTCTGTTACAAGCAGGCATTTAAAGTTCCTTCTCTTGTCTTGAGACAGGTCACTAACTAGATGATGAATCACAAATTACATCCAACTCTTGGATTCCTGTTACTTGGACCATTCTACCAATGGCTCCACTTGTTTGCTTAGAATAAACTTGGAACAACATTGTTGAGAATAGTCTTGGTTTTTAATTTTCTACTCTTGTACTCTTGCCATTAATTTATAGAGAAAGCACAGAAGTACAACCAGATGTCAACAGGGGAATCGAAATGGTCATTCCAAATTAGTATTTGTGACTCTCAAAGCCAGGCTACGATTTGCTATGGAACAGAAAACTTGAACAACATCTATTTTGCTTAGTAACACAAGGCACAGTTAATGTGGCTGGGCCTCTCGTTCTGCTGACACAATGTGTGCTGATAAGTTTAAATTTTAAAAGCTTAGAGCAAGTAGAGCTTGGTATATTCCAGGGGCCTGGTGAGTGCAGTGTCTGCCACATATCACTAGGAGGATAACAGAGGCCCTGCTTCCACTACCAATGCTCCTGGAGAAGTTTATCACCCGGGCTCTGAGGACAGGAGTTCGACCCATACCAAACACTTCAGAAATAATGTCAACACACCCCAGACCACAGCCAGCAAGGAATTTTCTAAGATAAGATTACAACTTTGTCCTTAAAGGGATGCCAACCAAGTCAGTTGATCTCCAAATAATTCCCTGAGCAGAGCAGCCCTGTAGGCTATCCATCATACCAGGGAATTTTAGGAGCACAATTTTTGTGCTTCTGAATGCAAATACTCTGCTGCTGTTTTCCAAAGTATACAAAAAGCTCTAGCAGTATCTGAGAATGTCCCAGCAAGGTCAAGGCCAGCAAAGTTGAGCTTGGTGCCCACAATGTTAGCCAGTGGTAAAAAAGCTGGAAACAGCTCTCTATTGGTAATGGCATCTGTCCACTTTATTTAAGGTTTTTTGTTTTTTATTACTATTTTTGTTTCATTTCTCTATTGGTCTCATGTAAGCCCAAGGGTTTCCAAGGCCAGATTAGAGCTCTAGTCTAGGTCTAGGGCAAAGTCATGAAAGGATAAGGTGACTCAGTCTTTGAATAGGTATGAAAAGCTACTGAAATATGTTTAAATACCAAGTCATGTGTTTAGTTTAAATATCAGTATGCAAACTGGCCCCGTCAGGCACCCATTCGGGGGCTGGGGTAGAGTTGAATAGGTATTGTCCCCCTACCATGTTGGTGATGAGAAGAAGAACATGTGGAAACAACTCACCTTTAATTTGTCACCTAAACACCAATGGTGTTGACTTTGAAAGTTCCAATAGTCGTTCCTTTGTATTTCGTATGCACAGCCCTCATGTGACCTTCCAAAGTCCAATCCCTCCTTCCCAGGGCTGTGCTGTATGTGGTTGCCAGATTAATTTAAAAAATAAAACCTCTCTTTTTTGTTATATCATTTTCCAGTAGATTCTCACAGAAAAGTTCATATTCCAGTTTATTATCAAGTCTTCACAAATCTTTCTATCCAGTTCCTCCTTCTCTATTAATCTTTATTTCATCCAGAGGCTCAGTCACGGGCAGGGAAATTTTTCAATTTCCCCAACTCTGTGCTTTTGTTCCTGCTATCACTCCCTTTGGGAATTTTCTTCTCCTCCCCCTTTTCTGTTCAGCTGCATTGCTCTCTTCCATTAAACTTTTTAAGATCAGTCCTGCCCACACTGATCTGCCCTACTTGCTTATCAGCCAGAGTCCACACCAGACCTTTGACAATTAATCACATACTCCCTATGAAGTTATCTTTATTTTGCTCTGTCTTGCTATTTTTTTTCTCTCCCTCTCCCTGGCTCTCTCTACCATTGTTGGTATGTATGTGTGTAGCTAGATAAATGATCTATGAAAATAAAGTCTACATCTTAAATATCTTGAGAACACACTACCTCACAGATGCTCTGTGACATTATTATTGGTTAGTTATTCTTGCTTGGCATCTTTATTTGTGTGCTGATGCTCCTGTGTTGCTGTGTGACTTCTGGAAGTCTTAGGACCCTAGCTTTCTCAACCCTAATAGAACCAAGAATGACATCCCTGAGCAACAGAAGCTAGAACGATGTCTGATGTGGGCTTAAAGAGCTTTCTTTTGAATAACTGCAAACTGTTTTATATGCCAATGTAGGTGGAGTGTAATGCTGATTTCCTCAGAGTCCAGTGGGTATTCAGATGTTAAGGATTTGGGGAAGAGTTAATAAAGTTTGCCTCATGTGCTTTTCACACATGCCTACATCTACCCAAAGTTTTTCTAATCTTTCTGTTCCACCACAACAGTCAGTAGGAACTCAGGGACTGGATATGGCACAGACATGAAGGGCCCAGTAGTGTAGTTTAGCACATAAATCTGGTTGACTGGCATGCAAATCACACCCTGCCCCATGAGCTGTATGTCCTTGGGCAAATCGACTGGTGTCTCTAAGTCTACAGATTTCTTTCCTTTCCTCATGGAGTTGTAATGAGAATGCCTAGACTGTTCCAAGTACATTGTAACATTGAAAATAGTCAATAAATGGCATAACAACTTACAAACAATATGCTGATTTCTCCCATTTTAAAAAACAAAACAAAACAAACTCCCTTGATCTCTAATCACTATCCCTTTAAAACAAAACAAGAATTCTCTGTGCTCTGTCTTTTTCCTTCTCTCTCCCATTCTCTGACACTCTCTAATCAGGCTTAGCCCCCTCCATTCTAATACAGCTGCTTTTTTTACAAAGTCACCAATCACTTCTATGTTGCTAAGTTTAAGACTTAATTCTTAAGTCAGTGCTCTTGACCTATGAAGCAGCATTTGACATAGCCATAAATGCAGCCTCCAGGACACCCACCTAGAGGCTTTTCCTCCTACCTCTCTGGCTGATTCCTTGTCTTCTTGGTTCCTTGCCTTTGGCTGAGTTTTTGGACTTCTTCCTTTTCTGTGTTGATCCCCTTGATAACTTCACCCAGTTTCATGGCTTCCAACACCATTTCAACACTGCCAACCCTTTAATCATCTTCAGCTCACCAGTGCTTTCTTCCCTAAGTTCAGAGCTGATATCAAGTTGTTATTCACTTCTCCACTCATATCTAATGGGCATCTCAAAGATTTCGGAAACTGAATTCCTATCTTCTTTCCTCTAAACCTGCCCCTCTCATACTTTTTCCCATCTGAGGAGCCTCATCCTAATAATGGTTCAGGGCAAAAATCAAGTTATCCTAACTGTATTTTTTTCATCTACCTGTTAGAAAATCCTATTAGCCCTGCTGTCAAAACACATCCAGAATCTGATCCCTTCTAAAAGCCACTGCCCTCCTCCAAGCTACCAACATCTCTCACCTGGAATAGTGTAATATCCTCCTAGGTTTGCTTTCTATTTCCACTGCCCCCAATTTCAATGACCTTTTCAAATGTAAGGCATTTTTGTCTTTCTGGCTCAGTCTTCCAGTGAGTTTTCTCTCCAGATGAAAGCCAAAGGCATATGGTTACCCAGCCCTAATGGCCCAGTCCCTGTTCCTCTCTTACTGCTGTTTCCTTTGATTACTCCACTGAAGCCACCCCAGGTCCTACCTTGGGACTTTTGTGTTTACTTTGTTTCTACCCAATTGCAATGCCCTTTGCCAAGTGACCATGTAGTTGCTCTCTTACCACCATTAGGTCTACACTTAAATGTCAAGTGATGAGACTTTCCCTGGCCTACTGTTTACTTGTACCCCTTTTTCCCTACTCCCTTTCCCTACTTTATTTTTTAGTATAGCTCTTCTCACTATCTATGATGCTTAACATTTTACTTATTTCATTGTTGTCATAGTCTATTATATGTGTTTCCTACCAGAACACAAACTCCACGAAGGCAGGTTTCTTTGTCTCTTGTCTACTTCTGTTCCCACAACACCTGGGATGGTACCAAACACCAATAGTATCCACTCTTACTGCTGTCCCTTGACCTTGACCTTCTGCCTTGTGTCCTAGTTTCCTCAGGGTGGAGCTGTCTTAATCCCAGGTTGACTTTCTCTAATGTGGCTGTGTCTGTCTGTTCTTCTTCCTCAGATGCATATTCCCATTCCTCCAGTGAAAATGGAGGCAAGTCGGAGTCCGTGGCCAACCTGCAGACTCAGTCCTCTCTGAACTCCATCCACAGTTCCCCGGGTCCCAAGCGCTCCACCAATACCCTTAAAAAGTGGCTGACAAGTCCTGTGCGTCGGCTTAATAGTGGGAAAGCAGATGGAAACATCAAAAAGCAGAAGAAAGTACGCGACGGTCGGAAGAGCTTCGACCTGGGATCTCCTAAGCCTGGGGATGAGACGACACCACAGGGAGATAGTGCTGATGAGGTACTTTTACCAGAGCCCTGCAGACCTCTATCCAGAAGGGGCCTCTGATGTTCTTCCCTCATAGTTCTATGATTTAGTCAGTCTCCAGCAGTTTGTCATCTTCAGCCTCAGAGATTTTGAGATTTAACTGATTTGATTTGTGACCCATTCGCACACTGATCAGTACGTAGAATTGCCAACAGACAGAAATCACTTTGCCAGATTTGGAGATAGTAGCCTGGCCTCAGGGGAGGCAGTTGGTCACCTGCCTCCACTAAAGACTACATGAAAACCAGCAGTCCTGTTTAGAATAAGAATAAAACAATGGAGACCATTTCAGTGCCACATGTAAAAGGTTTCTGCAAAGGGGACAAGTTATGAAGAACAGATAAACGTTATAATAGGCAAAGTTTCAGCAAGAAACCTTAATGGGGTCATCCAGTGATGAAATGGCCCTGGTGCACACCTGTACTGGAAGGACTTGGGAGGAACCCCCCGTGTTAGCCAAGAGATTAATCTGGGCAATTTCTGCAGTCTTACAAAGCTGAGATTCTGTAATCAAAATATAGGGACATGTTTTGGTTATCCCTATATTTTGAATGAGATAACTGTTTTATCTGGATGACTAGCCTTCTCTGATCACTAGCAAAACTAAGAAATTCTTCCTCTTGTTAAACAGACTTCCTCCTTATTGTAATTTCATGCCACCTGCCATTTCTTCCTCTGGAAGTAGCATAAAGCTTGGTGATATTTGAATTTTAATTTAATAGCCCTTCAGAAATCTTAAAGGTTAGGCTCTCTCTGGCTATTCTTTTAGCTTTCTGTTTTTCTGACTAATTAGTAAAAACAGAGTTTTGTTTTTGTTTTATTTGGGGGAGGGTACTTACTCCCACTTGGTCCTCACAGTCCTTTGAGATAAACAAGTGTATCCATATTACAGAGGAAGAAACTGCTCCTGAAAAGATAGGGGTGTGTTGAAGGAAGAACAACTTCTTACATATTATTTGTTTAAATAACAAGTCCTGAACCACTGGCATCTTTCACAGTATGAAACAGTAACTAACACTGCTCTTTTGTTCTAGAAGAGCAAGAAAGGTTGGGGTGAAGATGAGCCAGATGAAGAGTCCCACACACCCCTCCCTCCACCCATGAAGATCTTTGACAACGACCCTACACAGGATGAGATGGTAGGACCTCTGCTTTCTTACTGGAAAGAGCAATGTGTAGCACCTGGGATTTCACTTTGTGTATGTGAGATGGGGGTGTCAGATACTGTCCCTCATTATCTCTTAGGCCATGTGAATCCACAATCATACAGATTTTGTCTATGTTTGGTAGGTGTCTTCTCTCCTATTTCTGGAAGTCTGACTTTGTTCTGGGCAGTGTAGGTGTGTGTGTAGAATTCTTAAAGTGGAAATGTGCCTGGGAACTTGTCCTGTTGATAAAGGGTAATGGTTCTGCCTTTGGAAGCAGCAGATCCTAAAAGGAACTATTTATCTCAGAAAGGAATCTGTGATGGCTGCAGCCTTTGGTTTTATCTGACTGTACACCTGTGTTATAGTTGTCTTCCCTGTCCTCAACTCTGAAATCTAATTGCAGTAAATTCCAATTGACTCCAGTGCCATGAAAATTCTGTGATCATAGCATGTGGAGTGGAGATGCTGCAAAGAGGAGGTTATTGTCAAAGGTGGGCAAGTATAGCATGCCAAGTTGCCCAAACTCTTTGTTTTGCAAAGTTCTCCTGTTTACTAGTATCTGAAATGTCCATGTCCACTGTGCCTCTCATCCCCTGGTGGTCACCACAATTGTTCTGGAGCAGAAGCTCAGGTTAGATAATATTGGTCCAGTGGTACTGACTTCCATGTTCTGAGCTGGGGCATGGGGCTGCTTATGTTGTATTGTCTATCTCTCACTTTCCTTACAGCCATGCCTTCACTCCATTGTGTTTTTCTTGCCCTCTTGTAGTATGGCTGGAACTCTTGGACCATTGAAGTGGAGGTTTTAGTGTTTGGATGCACTTCCCATTTTCTTTCAGTGTCATTTTGTGATGGTGGTGATGGTGGCTAGCCTGGCCATCCCTTGTGCTTTCCCTGTGCTCTGACTCACAGTGGGGCAGCCTCCTTTGAGGGCCCAACGTATGTAGACAGGAAATGAGTTTTCATAATACCATCTAGATACACCACAAAGGCTCTGTTAATGTTTCTGGGGACATCTCAGTTCTTATTTAATTCTGTCTGCTTTGCACTGATTGTTAACCTATAGATATTATTTAATTTCTCTCTGTAGGCCAGAGGGATCGTCTCTCACAGGACAATGACTAAGTCATCTCCCATGGGAGACTCCCCTTTCTGAGACTCACCCTGTGAAAAATATACCCTATGAGGAGTTGTGATTCCTCCTGAGGTGATGTTGACAGATCTCTGGCTCTGGATGTTGGGAAGAAAAGTAGTAGAAAACATGGCATCTTGGCCATCCTGGATTCCCAGAAGCAGAGATGCCTATACTTCACCTTGAGATGGGAGTGAGAACCAGCCCAGTGGGATTCCCCAAGGCCTGCCCTTGTAAAATGTTGTATAAACAATGATAGTGTGCCTGGGGAGAAAGCTCTGATGTCCAATATCTGCCATAGCCCTTTGCATGAGGGACCAGCCTTGCATAAGATAGGAAAGGTCGTGAACCCTCTTGAGGCAGTTCACTCAAACACAGCTTGTTTGGGAAAATGGATGTTATGTTGCTTCTGGATAGTTTTTAATAGAGAATGCAGACTTTAATAGAGAATCCAGATAAGTGTGGCTCTTTTCTTATCCATTGCAACAGTCCCTATTTAGAAATGTGAATTCTCTTCAGACCAGCTTGTTTGATTTCTGTACATTTGTTTGTTTTTTGTTGTTATTTTGTTTTTAATATTCAGTATTGGGATGAGTCTCAGAACTGCTAGTAAGTGGAGTTGCATTCATTGAAGCAATTTTTACAACAGTGTAAAAGAACTTTTAAAAATTCATCCAGTGTAATGTGGTACAATTATCTCAGTTCTCCTTGTTCCCTTCTAATCTTTGTTCATATCCATGGATGTTTTATATTATAGTATGTGTAAGATATGTTCAATACTTTATTACCATTTCCTAGAATCTTATTAATTTTACCTTTATAAGTATCATTTGAATAGCTACAAAATACTTTGCTTAATGTTCTGTGATTTGCTTCATCAGCCCCTTTGTGGACATCTTAATAGAGTGTTTCCAGTCTTCACTCCTCTGAATAATACCCCTGCAGATTACTTCATACATATGGCATTTATTCTTTTGACATCTGTCCTTTGAATAAGTTCCCAGGAGCAGGATTACTAGGAAAAAGGTGATAACTTGGCTTTCCAAACATGAACTTTTTCCTTTATCCCTGAAGAAAGGAAAAAGAGTATTATTATAACTTTCTTAATTGCATTTATTTGATATTTTCCTCCATCTCAGAAGCAGAGATTTTAAAAGTAACTCTTAGGTTAGACAGAAAGCTTTCTTTTTTAAAACTCTTCCCTCTAACCTAAGGGAGAAACTTGAAGGCAGGGCAAGGCCTGGACATTCAACTTTCTATGCCCATAGTCATCGTGCCTATCTCTCAGACTGGGAACACTGTTTCCCTCTGCTCTGATACATTGAGGCAAAAGCATGTACACATGCATACAGAGTTAGCCATTTCTCCCACAATTTCTCCTCAGGTTGAAGAAGTAGGGAAAAAATAAGCAAATGAACAAAGAAACAATGTCTTCAGTGAGGGGGATCCCCAAACCATTGAGCAGATGTGAATAAGTCCTTACTGCAGGTATAGAGGGAACAGGGGCATAGAAAGGCCCTGCAGTTGAGCCTGTGAGCAGGATAGTCCCTGGGCACCCCAACATGTGACATTCAACTAATGCTGAAGCCCTTTACTACTTCCTAAGTTTCCAGTTTGAGACTTGCCAGGGTCAGTTATGTTTTGTTGAGGGGGGCAGGGGACATAGGGAGGAGATAGCTAGCTGAGCTCTTACATATCCTGCCTCTACCCTTCTTGCTTGACACGCAGTGAAGGTCCATATCTAAGGCTATAGAAAAGCAAGGACTATTTCTCTTCTTCAGTCACATTTAAGGCTGGGTTTATTGATTCCTTCCAGACCCTGGGATTGCAATGGACATCCACATAGTAACTGAAATCCTGCTTGCCTTCAGAGCAGCCAGTCCCCACCCTGTTGTCACTAGGGGCCCTTGCCTGTTGGCCTCCAGGGACTCAGTAACCTTCCCCTTAGTTCCTTGGAGGTCTGCCTAAGGAGAATCCAAGCTCATGTATGTTTTGTTGCTGGCCAGAATTTCTGACAACAGGTCTGGCATGCCTGTCAACCCCCACTACTCCCCACTTCCCTCTGTCATCTCTTCCCTATAAACACAGAGCTGTGCCTCCCTGGCCTGCCTTGCGCTTTGGACTTTCTGTTTTGCTTCCTAATTGCTGTTCCTCACTCCTTGCTAATCTGCTTTTCCTTTGCTGCTCAATGTCTTACAGTCCTCCTCTTTGCTAGCAGCCCGGCAGGCTTCCACTGAAGTACCTACTGCTGCAGACCTTGTCAGTGCAATAGAAAAGTTGGTCAAAAGCAAGCTGGTAAGTGGGGGTCCTGGAGGCAATTCTGTGTGTGGCTCACCTCCATGTGGCTCCCAGGGCTTTGCATTGATCTGCCATGTTCTCATTTGCACTTATTCCTCCTATAGGATTAGTTCCAGTAATGATGGCTTCTAAAAAGCTGTGCCCCAAAGTCCTTTTTGGCATTGTTTGGGAATTGGCGTGGGAAATTAACAAGCCCTTTTGGGGTTATGATGTTGATGAAAGGTGAAAAGTATATAAGAAAAACTAGCTTCAATGTAAGACTGATCCACTGGTCCCCAGGAGAGTGGCATTCATCCTGTGACTGGGGTGTGTCTGGTTAGCTCTGAAGCTAGTGTCCTGTGCTGCTGAGACAGGGCATGAGTTGGATCTTTGAAACACCAGGTAATTTTATTTGGGGACCTTGTAGCTTGAAAAGTCTTATAAAATTAGACTACTGATTATAAAGGGAAATAGACAAAAGTGTGTGGATACTTTGCCACAAGAAATTAAGGAACCCAGAATATATCTCTGTTGAAGGAGGAAAAACTGAACATAAACCACCCACAACTGGTCTACCTGTGACTGTCTTATAGACCAACCATATCACTGGAGGAAGGGCAGTAAGTCTGAGCTGGTCCAGGATGTTGGTGTAATGCTGATGGAAGAACTCCTGTCTGGATGGCTCACTGGGATAGAACTGTCCTTCGACTCTCATGTTTTTATATCTAAGTGTATTGCTGTAAGATGACAATTTTCCTTTTTCCTTTTTTTCCGTCTCAATCCATGTCACCCATTTGGCTTTTCTTGCCATTCTCATTAGGATAAATGTCTTTGCTTCCTCCAGACTTCTGTCGGGAAGTCTTGTTAATCATCACCATTTAAGACCTTCTGAGGAAAATAATGGGTCCTTTCATGGAGATATCTGATAATTTTTATTCCATTCACTCCCTTTTCATATATCCCGGTTTGCAATTTGCAGATAAGATTTAACACATATGATCTTGTTATTTTCCTTCTATATTTTCTTTCCTAATTAAAAAGAGCTCGTGGTTTTAGTAACCAGTGAACTCTTAGAGACTGTCCATTTTTCTGCCATGTCCTTCTGCTATCCTAGCAGAAGTTAAGTGCTCTTGTGGGCACTACACTGACTTTACAAAGTCACACATTTGGCTTTCTTCCCTCAAGTTTTTGTTCATACCACCCCATTTCTCTGGAATGTTTTCTCTCTTATTTTTGCTTATCTAGTGCACAATGGTCCTTCAAGGTCCTACTCAAATCTCATCTCTCCACAAGGCTTTCCCTGGCCAGTCCAGACCAAAATTCTTTTGAAATCTCACCACAATTACTAAAGGCACACTCTGCCTGGGACAGCTCTTAGATGGCCCTGTTCTGATATTTATTGTTAAAATATCTTAATCTTTTCATTTGCAATTTACCTCCCAAGCTAGATAATTAATTTAGAACATTATTATTTTTTCTTCCACTAGTATATAGGAGTCTTTTTCACTTAATGGGTTTTTCATGAACAGTTGTTTCCAAAAGTCTGTATTTGTTTACATTTTAGGTTACCTTTCCCATACCACTGCTACTACTGAGCTTTGAACTGTCAAAGTCCCCTTGGCCCTCTGGTGTGTGATCCCTGGGTTCGGTGTTAGACACGTAAATGAAGATGTTGACACATCTCATAAGAGGGGTACAGGATGACACTGGAGTTCACTGGTCCTATAACAGGCTCTCAAATGGCTGCTGAATGAATGTCCTTTCTGTCATGACTTTACCATAAGGGCTGTAACTTCTCCACCAATAATTACTTCTTGAGGACCTACAGTGAGCCCAGAATTGCAGAGCTTTATTTGACTTAACATATAAAGCTAAACCCATATCAAGAAAGAAGTAAGGGAGCAGTACTTTGGTTTCTCAGGATCTTCTCACCAGAATCTCTCTTTCTTCCCATCCCACTGTGAGGTAGCCGTAAAGCAAAAGTAAACTGAGAATATTTTAGACATGTTTGAGAATGCTAAGTTACTTTTTTACCTCCAAAGTGTCTTAAAGGTAAAAACTTGTAAGCTTTTTAGCTTAGAAGAAAAAGCCTAGAGCCCATAAAAGTTCTGGAATGTTTATTTGACTAAAGTACAACAGTGTAAAGGATGCCAAAATAGCCAGTAGTGTCACAAACTTGTTAATGAAAGTACAATGTACAGGTTAGGAGAAGTAATAGTCCCATTGTACTCAAAGCTGTTCAGACCACACCTGTCATGAGTCGTGTGTGAGTAATACATGTATTGTCAGTGCAGCATTCTAGATTGTTCTTGAAAGAACTGCAAGTGCCCCAGAGGACCTTGAGGTCCATGTCATTTGAGTGAAAGTTGAAGAAACTGAGATTCAGTTTGGGGAGAATTGAGGAGAAGCACTAAATCTATCTTCCAATAATGAACGTGCTGCTGTAGGAATGAGGGCTGGTCTGACTGTTGCTCCAGAGGGCAGAATCTGAACCTGTGAGTGGGAGTTATCTTAGTGTAGTGTCAGGGAGAACTAACAGAGTCCTTTTCAATTCACAAAGGCCAGTTCCATTCATGGGAACATCTGGTATGCTTGGACTGTTGTCCAGGGTCTTTCTGCTTTCTCTGTTAGTTGTTCAAACAATAGCACCAAAATCTGCACTTAGAATTCATTTTGCCCTCCAGCTTTACCAAAGATGAGGTCACATTTGTTCCTAGGTTCCAAAGTTGCCGCCAGGGCTTTCTGGTCCCATAACTATTCTTGCACCAAGGTTTCTGCCTCAGTGAGTAGTGATCTCTCCTGCCCAAGAGCTATAATTGGAAGACAAAGACAGGGCTCTGAAGCTCACTTTCTGAACATAATAGACCCTTCTGAATGGACCCTGCTGGCCTTGGTCTCTGTTTACCAAGAAAGGATGCTTACTCACCTCCCCCAGAGAGCTAATATATTTTTTTCTGGCCTTCGTATTAAGGTATTGTCTGTAACTCTGAGTCAGAAGTAAGGACTCTATCTAATTTCCCCATGGCTTTTTTTTTTTTTAAAACAGGGTCTTGCCACATAGCCCAGGCTGGCCTTGAAGTGCCTCAGCCTTCTGAGTGCTGGGATTATAGGAATGCCTTACCACTCCCAGTCTCTGTGTGATTTCTTCTATTGGCAGTACTCAAGTTTGAACTCAGGGCCTCATGCCCTTGCTAGAAAGGTGCTCTACCACTTAAGGCATGCCCCCAGCCCTTTTTGCTTTAGTTACTTTTTAAATAGGGTCTCATGTTTATGCCAGGCCAGCCTGGACTGCAATCCTCCTATGTACACTTCCCACATAGCTGGGATGACAGGCATATACCACCATGCCTGGCTTGTTTGTCAAGATGGGGGTCTCTGAAACTTTTTCCCCAGGCTGCCACAAATGCATTTCTCCTGGTCTCTGCCTACTTAGTAGCTAGGGTTACGGGCATGAACCACTGTGCCCAACCCTCCTGTGTTATTTTTTTATTAGCATATTATTGTTGTGCTGGGGGTACATTGTGACATTTATAAAAGTTCTTACAATATATAATAGTTGAATTCAGCCCTCCATCATTCTCCTTTATTCCCCGCCCCCATTCTTGGAATAGTTTCAACAGGTCTCAGTTTTCCACTTATATACATGAATATATGATATTTCTACCACATTCACCCTCCTTGTGAGCCACAGAAGATCACGGCGAGGACCAGGCTGTGTTATGCGTGTGCTTTGCTGTCCTTTACATGGATTGCCTGTACCGTCAGTAGCTGGTGGAGTTAGCAGAAGTTTGGAGTCTAGATGGAAGAAAATAAAGGCCCCATTATGTCCACTATGGAGTTACGTGTTTTCAGGAACTGGGTTCATTTAGCATTGCTCTGTGGAGATTCCTAAGGTTCTTGTCAGAATAGAAAAGTTTAGAATCCACCAAAAAATTTTAACCCAGATTTAACAGTCACAAATCTGAAATGTCATTTGCCTGGAAAATGCAGACCTCAGTTTTTCCACTGTGTAGTTATCCCTACATCTGCCCCTAGATTGCCTACAAATGACTTAGGTCTAATGCTTTTTGTCCAGAGACTCTTACACAAATTTAAAAAGAATATATTTTAGTGTATAATTTTGCAGTTTACCATATGATGTTATAGGGTACATATAAACAGTAATTATAGTGAAACAAATTAACATAATCATCTCATGGCAGTTTTTCTCATGTGACAAGAGCAGCCATTTATTTGGCAAAAATCTCTAATCCAATATAATTTTATTAACCGTAGTCCTCAGGGTCTGCATTAGACCTCCAGATCTGTTCATCCTACATATCTGCTATTTTATATCCTATTTCTCCTTGTTCTTTTCTCTTCTCCCACCCCTAGTAATCACTATTTCATTCTCTATGTCCATGTATTGTACCTTTTAAAATAAGATTTCACATATAAGTAAGGTAATGTGATAGTTTTCTTCTGTCATCTGGCTTATTTCTCATACAGCGTGTCTTCCAAGTTCACTCATGTAGTGGCAAGTACAGAATCTCTTCTTAAGGCTGAAAAATGTTCCTCTGTGTGTGTGTGTGTGTGTGTGTGTGTCACAGATTATTTATTCATCCATCAACAGTCACCAAAAACTTAGATTGTTTCCCCATCTTGACTATTGGATATTGGAGGTACAGATATCTTTTTTTTAATTTCTTTTATTCATATGTGCATACAATGTTTGGGTCATTTCTCCCCACTTCCCTCCCCCTCCCAACTCTCTACCTCTCCCCCCCACCCCTTCCCTTCCAGGCAGAAACTATTTTGCTCTTATTTCTAATTTTGTTGAAGAGAGAGTAAAAGCAATAATAGGAAGGAACAAGGGTTTTGCTGGTTGAGATAAGGATAGCTATACAGGGAGTTGACTCGCATTGCTTTCCTGGAGGTACAGATATCTTTACAGTGAGTTGGTTTCATTACCTTTGCGAATATACCTAGTAGTGTGAATGCTACATCGTATAGCGGCTCTCTGTTTAATTTCTTTAGGAACCGCCATATTATTTTCCAAAGTGGTTACACACTAATCTGCATTTCCACCAACAGTGTACAAGGATTCCCTTTTTGCCACACCCTCACCAGTGCTTTCTCTCTTTCTCCTTCTCTCTCTCTCTCTCTCTCTCTCTCTCTCTCTCTCTCTCTCTCTCTCTCTCTCTCTCTGTAATATATAGTACCCATCCTAATGGGTGTGATATGGAAATTTTTTTGTAGTGAAAGAGCAGCTAAGTGGTGCCTGGTTGGTGCTAGACCAACGGCTAGCTCTGCTAGCCTTACTCTGCTCTGTCTTATCAGACAATCCTTGATCTTCTCTCAGGAGTTCCATAGCGTATTCAATAAATTCCTGGAGCCCTACTCTGTATCAGGCTTTGAGATCAAACACAGACCCTTCCTTACACAGAGTTCAAAACCAAGGGTTAATGCTGAAAATCTTCTCCTGTCTTAACTGTTGGCAACCATTCCCTTCCAGATTTCAGTCTGACATCGCAATACATGACCACCAGAGGATGCCTCCCGTTAAAAACAAAAACTTTTAAAGTAGTTTTTTCTGACTAATAAAAAACAATATATACTCATTCAAGAAAAAATGGAAAAATGACAAGAGTATAAACAAATTATCATCATCTAGACATATTCAGTGTTGAAATTTTGATGTATTTTCTTTCAGATTTTTTACAAACAATGTAATCATAGAGTATTTATATTTTAAGTCCTCTTTTCCTTTGCTATCCTGTCAGAGACATTTTCCCCAGTCATGAAAAACTCTATGGACCATTAAGACTGATTTTTCTAAAACTTAAATATGTTACTTTTCCTTTGCTTTGTGTGTGTGTGAGTGTGTGTGTACTGGGGTTTGAACTCGGAGCCTACACCTTGAGCCACTCCACCAGCCCTTTTTTGTGATGTATTTTTTCAAGATATGATACCTTGAATTATTTGCCTGGACTAGCTTCAAACCAAAATCCTCCTGATCTCTGCCTCCTGAATAGATAGGATTATAGGCAAGAGCCACCAGCACCCAGCTATGAACTCCTTTCCATTTCTCAGAATAATTGGCTCTCTTTATCTGTGGTTGTATATCTGTGGATTCAACTAAGCAGATTGAAAATATTTGGGAGAAAATTGCATCTGTAGTGAACATGTACAGGCTTTTTTCTTGTCATTATTCCCTAAACAATATAGCATAACAATTATTTACATAATACTTACATTGAATTAAATATTATAAATAATATAGAGATGTTTTAAAGTATACAGGAGGATAAACATAGGTTATATGCAAATACTAAGCCATTTCATAGAAGGGCCCTGAGGATCCCTGGATTTGGTATATGTAGAGGCTCCTGGACCAATCTCCCAGGATACTAAGGAATTGATAGTTCAAGCATTCCCCCTGCCATTAAATCTTTCCCTTCTCTCTCTATCCCACCATATAGCTGCCTGCCCCTTTGTTCATCCTCCATGGTACCCCTCCTGTCTAGAAGAGTACCCACAATGGCTTAGCTTATGGAGAGCAGAGAGCCATCTCTTACTCATCCTTGTTTCTCTAGCCTTTCAAATATTCATCATGTTGGAAATGCTCAATAAATATTTTCTGAATACAGATGAATGATCAATTACAATGTTGTCTAATGAATGCTGTGCAGGGGGTGTAAAAGGTACTTATAGGACCCCAGAGAAAAGGGCATTTTATGGGTATGTGAACCAAGATCCAGTGACTAGGAAATGTGTTCACTTTAACATGAGGGTGATCTTCTTCCATACTTAGCCACCTATGTTAATCCTGTTTACATGTGTGTTCCTGTCCTTGGACCAACTATGAGAACTTGTATTGCTCCCTCCTCATTCAGTTTTCCTTAATCTAATGAGACTGATGTGGCCCTGAAACCCTATATGGGGCAGAAGTCCTCACTGTTGCAGAAAACTGGTCACCATTGTCTATTTCATTCCAGAAGTAGTACCAGCAATTGCAGGTCACCCATAGTTGCCCTTGGTTGTGGTTTAGTGACTCAAAGGGGTCTCTCCCAGCATTCCAGGCAGATTACCCAGCATATAGCTTATCTAAACCCTTTGTTTCCCTCTTCTCCCTCTCATTGCACCACCCTTCTAACAGTCCTAGAGAGTCCTCCCCAAGAAACAGCTCAGGCTTCTTTGCTCATAGAACAGTCAGGCAGGAAGAGGTAGAGTGGACTTCCCTGTGTGACTCTTCAAACTCCTTGTTCTGTAGCCAGGTTGGGAATGGACCATGCCAAGCTGGGTGCACATGAGAACTCCCTCTTTCCCCAAGGCAGAGATGTAGGCCTGCTAACAGTTACCTTGCTGCCAGCTAACAGAACACAGAACAAAGGCTGAAAAGGAAAATATAGAAGAGGAGGGGAGATAAAAGGCACTAATCAAATCCATCACCAGCTGCGTCCATCTGCCTGGGAATCTGTCTTTAGTGATGGCACCAAGGGACACATCACTGGAAAGCTGCCTGTAGCTGGCTTGTCAAGCCTCAGCACCAGACATTCTAATTTCCTTAATAACAGGTTACATATCCTGCATCTATAAATGTCACTAAACCCTTCTCGACCTTTCTTTATTTTTAGCCTATATTGCTGCTCTGGATATAGCAGTTTCCATGGTTGATTACTTGTTCTGTAAATACCTTTATGTCAAATGAAAAGAAATTCTCTCCCTCAAGCCATAAGACCCTGTGCTCTTAATTCTAGTGCTGGTAACAAATTTATGTTTGGCCCTGAGTATATGGTATCCATTTGGGGGGTAGAGGAGAAAGTTGATATCTCTTTTCAAGGTTAAGTTTTGCAGGTTCAAGTCCTAATACTCTCCTTTTCTCATATGGTGGCCCCTCAGTTACCTCATTTACTGTATGTTTCCTTCCCCTGAATCACTTTTTTTATACCTCTGTCTGGCCTATATTGAAATATAGCAGCAATGAGAGTTTGTGACAGATACTCCCAACTGCAGATCAAGCTGAGGCCTTTTGTTCCTGTTATCTTTTTGGATGGCACTTTTTGATCTTTGTGACTTTAATCTTAAGTCCAGTATCTTTAAAGACTACTAAGTGAAACATTTCCTTTTAGCTACAGTGGTTTGTATAGTCAGGCATCTTTGATAGTTTGGAAGTTTTACAGTCACCCACCTTGACCTTGATCTCTTAGTCTTACTGTTTATCTACATTGCCTCAGGACTTGCAGAAATATTAGATTGGCCCCATTTTAAATATCCTTATTGTTACCAGTGCCAATTACAGAGGAAAAGTAAATCATTTTTAACTTCTTATAGAGGTACAGCCATTGCCACTACCCCTTATAAATTGTAAAAATGAATAATCTGATCTCAAAATTGAGGAAATACTGAGGCATGGGACAATTTTAGATGCCTCCTGTAAGATCGCCCATTAACAAGCAGATCCGGGATTAGAATTCAGGTTCTTTTTCCCTTGGCTCCTGCTAAAATATTATTTTAATCCATCTAATTTTTTCTGAACCTACAGCACATTAATTAAAAGAAATGAGGATTAATAAATAAAGTCCTTGATAAATAACCTTACCAAAGATGTTTTTAGAAAAGACTAAATCTATGACTATTTCTATTTTTTTTTAGTATTTCTTAACTATGTATCAATGTCCTCATCAAAAGATTGTAGCTGATTTAACAAAGCATGACTTTACCAAACTAGCACTATCTCTGCCCTTCCCTTATCAGTTTGCATTTGATGGTCCTACAACTGATTTTCTTTTCCTTATCTGGTACAGAATTGCATTGATTAGCTTTCCCTCTGGAGCCGATACCCACAGATAAGTCACTGTGACAATTTCATTATGTCTGGGCAGTTGGCAGTACATGGATATCCAGTGTGTCCTGATTGCCTGCTACAGGAGGGTGGAAGTCTCTGGTCTCCTGTGGTTCAGTGAGAACAGCCTTGACTGCTGACTTCCCAAGGTGGCTGTGGCTAGGGTAGGAGGACTCAGGGCTTCTAAACAACTTCCAGCATACACTCTCTGAGGCAGTTTCATCTTTTTTTTTAGACGCTAGAAGGAGGTTCCTACAGGAGCAGCTTGAAAGACCCCACAGGCTGCCTGAATGAGGGAATGACTCCACCCACACCTCCTAGAAACCTAGAAGATGAACAGAAAGCCAAGGCCCTGAGAGGCAGGATGTAAGTGGCTCCCCAGACCCTACCCTGGTTTATGAGCGTGTGTGTGTGTGTGTGTGTGTGTGTGTGTGTGTGTGTGTGTGTGTAAATAATGGGCAAGAGTTGGGAGAAATTAAACAGGAATTTTCTGCATTGTGTTCAACTTATCTTGTCCTTCCTAGTGAAGGTGACCCAGATCTGCACAGTATAGCACCAATAAACAGTGCCACTGTTCATCACAGTTGCTCTCCAAGCCACTTTGGCACTGACTTGAAGAAGTTTGGGTTAAGTATGTTCTGTGAGATAGGAGTTGTTATTGACAAAATGTGGTCATGAGCAAGATCTGATAGAAACATAAAACATGCTGTTAAAGAGAAGTAACAGAGTTCAAGGAACTAAAGGACCATTACCACAGGTCTGTAGAACCAGAGAATCCCTGGTCATGGCAGAAAGTCTGATGGAAGTCTCCTGAGGAGACATGTCCCAAATATAGACAGGTGGCAGATGAGAAGCGGGAATTGTCATATGGCTAGGCAGGGCCCATCTCCACTCCTTCTCCAAGCACTTTAATTTTGCATCCATTGTGGATTTAGTTCCATGAGAACCTCTTCTCCACTTTGGAATGGTTAGTGATAAAATACAATTTACATTGTAGTCTATGTCACAAAAACTCATGTGCTATGCAAAGTTTAAATTATCTACCTTAATATGAAATCAGTCTTCTGTTATTTAACATGATGGAGAAGATACTGGATTTTAGTACTGCAAAACCATAACTCCTCCGGAAGTTTAGTTTTCTTCTTCAGGGTTTCATTCTCTTGGAAACAAGCTACCAGTGAGCCTTAGACATAACTCAATGTGTGAGACTGTGAGCCACAGCAAGATGATGTGGCAGATATGAAGAGTCCCTGTTGTCAGTCTCCCCTTCACCCTCAGAGCCATCACTCCTTTATGCAGGTTACAGACATAACAATTAGCAAAATAAGCAAGGCTAAGTTCTTCTGTTGCTGGGAAATATGCAAAGTGAACATTTAGAGCTTTGTTTCCTAGGAAACAAAAGTGGAAATGTCATAGCAAGAGCCTGGTGTCAAAGCAGGGCTGTCCCCTCATAATTCAGAGGAGCAGGTATCATGTAAACTCTGTAATCCCATACTTTTCTCCATAACTTTATGCATGCTCAGGGGGAACCCAAAGAGCGTGATGAATAGAATTTGGGTTAGGAAATACCATCTCCCAGGGGAAATTTCCTGTGACTTGCATAAAGCTGATCCTCCCTAGCTTCTCAGGTGGTTGTTACACTGAGGTGAAGCTGGAAATGGCATCCCAGCCCTTTGACAAGCTACAGTAAGGTTTATATTAGGGAGGTGAAATTTTCTATCTGGGAAGTGACCTGTGAAGTGGCAGGTGGTCTTTGGCAAAGCCAGTCACTAATCTTGCCACTTAAATTGTATGGGCCTTGAGCAATATTTAAGCCATTGTCCAAACAAAATAATGTCTGATTTTGCTTCAACAAGCCACAAAAGTTTGTTGCCCTTTACACAACAGTAGTCATCTGTTCTCTTTCATCTGAATCTCACCAATTCCCATACTTCTCCAAATCCTGACCTATCCTGAAAATCCAGCTATAGAATGTCTCACTCTTCTTTCTAGATATTGTCCTTATTCTAATCTGCTGTGCTTTGTGGCTGTGATGAAAGAGAAAATGTGTAGATATGAAATTTTAAACCCTGTGTGAGGCCAGGGGCTGAAGGGTGTAGAGAACTGAGACTCAATCAGGAGATCGCAGTAGCACCAAGGTGTTAAATTTAAAGGGTTAAATTTTTTCTTCATGGAAAAAGATGAAAATAAATAGTCATTTGTTCAGAAGAAGGGAAAAAAGATGAGAATGTACTTGCTTGTCTTCAAGTTTTTGTCATTGTTTCATTCAACAAATACTTGCTAAATTCTTATTATATCTCATCAATGGAATACAACAGTGAATAAGACCAATAATCACAACAAACTGAAGTCTTTACTCATGACAGGTTTCCATTCTGATGGGAGAAATCAGATAAACAAAATTAATTAGGTAGTATGTTGGACAGTCTAAGGGAGAATAGGATTGTGGATAATGCTTGCTGCAGTTTGAAGTGGTTCTGTTATTTGCACAAAGACCAGAAGGAGGTAAGAAATTGGCCATGGAGGAAAAGTGTTCCCAGCAGAAGGAACAGCCAGTGCTATTCAAGGTTCTGAGAGATTTTAGTGGAAGACCACTCCATACCATTGTGAAAGAAAGCAGTTAAAAGTGTGCCTGGCCTGGTAGCTAGAAGAATTTCAGTTGGACCAAAGAATTAACATTTATTTGTATGTAACTTTTTTAGGTTAAGAAAAGAATTGCATTATTATCAATTCATATAGCAAATAATTATTTAATAATTATTAAATCTTTGATATAAATTTTCAGAATGTCTTTTAAAAGTATTCTGATCTCCCCAGATCCTTCATCAGCCCTTTAAGAGAAACAACAAAAGGTCCACTCGCAGCATCCTGAGTACTCCCCTTCCCTAGAGACTAAAAACTTAGATAGCCCCCAATGGGCAGCAAATACCTGGGATAAAAATATCACCTAGAAACAGCCCTGGACCTCATCTCCAGAGGGCCCTCCCAGCCCCAAATTCCCACTCTCATTTTCCTGTGGGTTTTCTTTTTCCATTTTCTTCCAAGCAGAAACTTAGGCTATGCTAAAGATATATCTAAATGCTTCTATTTGGCCTTGCCAGTTCCTTCCTGTGGCCTGAAACACATGATTGTGTGTTAGAGGGAGGGACCTGGTTGGAAGTGCTGGGCATACTGATAAAGAAGCATGTGTTCATTTGCTTCCTCCCAGTGCCCTGGGGCCACAGACCCCTTAGGATTTGGTGGCTTCTCATTGCTGTACAAAATAAGAATTTTAGATGAATTGCTTCCTGGGTTCACAACAGTTACAACCCCTGTGCAGGGGCCCCTCTTTGACATCTCAGAACTTTATCCCTTCTGCCACTTGAGCCAAAAATGCACTTGTGTGGCTCCAGGCAAAACCCTTTCAAATTAGATAATAAGAGTCAGGCTTCAGTAGACCACATAGCACCCATCTGCAATGTGCATAACCATAGAATTTTATGTATAGTCTTTGGAGAAAGAAGAATGTTGGGAATTGAAGCTTCAGGGACTACAGAGAGCCCACTGAGTTGTTCCCTGGGTAGTGGGCTACAGTGAAAGGGTTCAGTCTTTCAACTTATAACAGCTAGGTTCAAGTCCTGCCTCTTCTCCTCACTCTGTAGTCTTGGGCAAGTCACCTAATCTTTTCATCTTAGTATTTTCATTCAGAAAAAAATAGTTTTACAATATCTATCTTGTGATAAGCATGGGAAAACCCAGATGAAGTAACTGGCACATAGTCAATGTTCTGAGAGGTAGGAATAATTAACAAAGAAACCAAGAAAGCAAATGACCTTGTTGTTCGATCCTGCATCCTGGGGCATGGAGTGCTGCGCTCAAAGTTGTGAGTATGGAATGTTTGCAATCAACCTTTCTGGCCTTGACTGGGGATTTTCCCAGCTGGTTATCATGGGTACCTGTCTGAATAACTTTAAATTCTGCATTGCAAAAGCTTTTTTTGATAGCTGTGTATCTGAAGGCTTAAAGGCTGATATGTCTTTCTCCTCCTGTTAAGTGAAGAATGGAGCCAAAATAAAGGAATAAAAATCTCATCTTGATCTCTTTGTCTCAAAGCTTTTATAACTCAGTTTTGCCAAAGTGGTTGTCATTCTTTCTGTCCTGTGTCTATTCAGTCTTTAAGAGAGAAAGATCATAAAGAATTGAAAGATATTTTGAGTCAATGAGAATCGTTCTTCTCTATTATGTCACCAGAGAAAGCCTTCTGGCTTCTCATCCTCAGCTCCTCAATGAAGGTCTCTCATCCAGAGACCACTAGTAAGCACCTTTCGAAGTGAGGGTCTTTTTTTATGGGGGGGGTCATTTTTTTTTTGTCTTTTTGGCAATACTGGAGTTTGAACTCTGGGATTTCAAAGGCCTCCAGCATTTTTTTGCTCTGGTTATTTTGGAGATAGGGTCTCACTTTTTGCCCAGGTTGGCCTAGACCACAGCCCTATTTTTCACTTCCCACATAGCTAAGGTGACAGGCTCCCACCACCACACCCAGCTTTTTTTCCAATGGGATGGGATCTTGCAAAATTTTTTTCCTGTGCTGGAACTGCAGTCCTCCAGATCTCAGCTTCTCATGTAACTGGGATGACAGACACACCACTGAACTCAGCTATTGGTTGAGATGGGGTCTTGGGAACAGTTTTGCCTGGACTGGCCTAAAACCATGATACTCCCTACTTTCGTCTCCCAAGTAGCTAGAATTAATGGCAAGAATCACTGGTACCCAGCTGGTGAGAGTCTTTTTGGTGGTCTTGTCATAAGGTAACTAAGTAACTTTGCTCCTTAAATGTAAAGACTTTGTTTGACAATGAAGAAGGCCCTCACTGTCCTTAATCTCCTGCCCAGGTTTGTCCTGAATGAGCTGGTGCAAACAGAGAAAGACTACGTCAAGGACCTGGGGATTGTGGTAGAGGTGAGTGGTTGGTGCAGGGTGCGTCTGTGCTCACCCAGGCAGGAGCAGATTGGCTGCTACCCGGGCATGGGTGCTTTAGCTTGGTGGTTTTGTGTATTTTACTCGGTCAGGGTATTTGCAGAAATGAAAATAATGATGATGTAATTCAAATAGAATATGTAGGCATTTTTTTTCTTTTCCCTTTGAAACATTAAAAAAATCTAGAGGGGAATAGGGACCCAAATGTTTTAGCAATTGGGGGAACCTCTTGGTTACAGCTGAACCCATTTCACTTGTTTTTAGTGACAAAGTTATTGTCTTAACAGGCTATTTGGTATTTCACCATGTGGGCATATATTCTTCAGAGTTGTGACCACCATGGGCACAAACTAGGTCACTCTTAGTGGAATCCTGGGATGTATTCATTTTTTAGGTCTTAAGGAGAGTGTTATCACTGCCAAGAAGACTAAGAAAAAGCCACTGATAAGTGAGAGTGACTGATCCACAGTCAACTTGGAATAAATCCAACAACTCTATGTCCAAAAGGATTTACTTTCAAGGGACTTAGACATTTGGATGGCAAAGCCTCAGAAAGTAAATGGATAATTTAAATGGCTTAGAGTCCTATTATTATTCATCTTTTTTATTAGCATATATTCATTGTATAAAGGAGTTTCATTGTGATATTTCCATACATGCATATAATGTACTTTGATGCTGTTCACCACTCTATTACTCTTTTTTATCCCTTTTCCCCTCCTTTGAAAATTTTTAACAGGTTTCATTATTCTATTTTCATACATGTGTATGAAATACTTTGATTTCATATTATTAGTCATCCTTAAAAAAAGAATATTAAGTCTAAAATTTGAATTCCTAATGTCTGAATTGCCTGCTGGTTCCTAACGGTTGCCCTGAAAGTCCTCATCCTACGAAATCTGCTGACTTAGGGCTTCATATTTGCCTATCCTGAACCTTGAATGAAGAAACTAACCTGACACATAGGTGACCTGAATTCTAATTTATGGAAAGTTGTTTTCACTTTCATTGGAGGATGGAGGCAGAAAGGGGTTTCATCAACTTCCATATGCCACTTAGCCTGGAAGTAGAACTTGTCAGTCTGGGGACTGAGAGACTGAACTCCAAGGAAGTCAGACATTGGCAGTGTGATGATAGGACAGGTCATATAAAATCTGGGTACCTTGGTTTTCTCATCTGTCATATTGGGATGCATGCTGCATGTACAACCTCAAAACCTGAATTGATTACAAATTACTGCATTTTACAATCTGGACTCATTTCTAGGTTAGGTATCTCTTGTTCTGAGTCTTTAACAATGTAACTCATTGGTTTGGGAGAGGGACAAGTGATGGTTTTCTTCTGCTTTTCTTTTTTTTTTTTTCTTTTTATTATTTACATATTTGTTATTTAATTTTCTTGCAGCTTTAGGGATGAAACTCAGGGTTTCACCCATGCTAGGCAAGTGCTCTATCCCTAGTCCCCGTTTTTGCTTTCTTAAAAGGACTGGAGACAAACAAAGGGACTCAGAAACTTCATAGAAGTTTTGTCCCTCACCCTGTCCAAGAGTTGAGTCCTGGTCGAGGAGGAGAAACACAACAGCACTCACCCTAAGCCCCACACAGCAAGTGTGTACTGACGTGGGTGCTGAGTGTGGGGCTTGCCCTAGAAAGCTTTCTTGTGAAACATCCTGTACTAACTATTGCCTCTGCTGCTGCAGGGGTTCATGAAGAGAATAGAAGAGAAGGGGGTCCCTGAGGATATGCGAGGAAAGGATAAAATCGTGTTTGGAAATATTCACCAGATTTATGACTGGCATAAAGAGTAAGTGTTTGTGTTACCCTGAAGGACAGTGGGGGGTGGTTCTGGAGGTCCTGAATCCTCTTCCTGCACCTGACCTGTCATCTATCTCATCATTGTTCTAGATAGTGTTGCTTCCTTCTCTTATCCCCTCTCTCCTTTTAGCTTTTTCCTGGCTGAACTGGAAAAATGTGTCCAAGAGCAAGACAGATTGGCCCAGCTCTTTATTAAACACGTGAGTGTTGTCCCCCTCCCCAGGCTCTTCATGTGCATTTTAAAACTCTTTCTCTCTTCTGCTATTCCTGGACTTGCCTTAAGACCTTCTCTGAAGAGTTTTTGTTTGTTTTGTTTTGTTTTAGCCTTGTTGGCAGTTTATAAGGTGGGCTCTTGCCTACTACACTCACTTATGTCCTTGCTGTTTAACTGCTTTGGTGTTCCCCACCTGTAGACTGTTTCTTGGTCCTCCCCTCCTGGATAGGCCTCAGTACTCCAAGGGTGTGCCTGACCATCCCATGTCTTTCCCTCTGTGTGTTAGGAGCGGAAACTGCACATCTATGTGTGGTACTGCCAGAACAAGCCACGTTCCGAGTACATTGTGGCTGAGTATGACACCTACTTTGAGGTAAGCTGCTCAAGCTTAGCTGAACCTGGGGGAAACTCGGGCCAAGATAGCCATATTCAGACATACAAGAGGTTATCCATGCATGGGTGCCCCCTATCCAGCACTGCTGACCCTTCATAACAGAATTCTCTGCCTCAACAGAGCCACTGGCTTCTCGACTCAATTCCCATTATCACCTTTGCTTATAAGGAGCTGAGGTGGCCCTGTCTGTACTATACTGAGAAACCTCCATTTGCAGAATGATTCGTAACAGACTGTTTTGGTTTGGTCCTTTGCAAGTAACCACAGAGCAGACTGTGCCTGTATTCTTCCTCACCAGCCCTCCAGGACTACTTGCTGAGGCCCTCCCCTTGTTTGAAGTATTCATAGTGGCCTCACAGTCTCTGCTTCTGTTCCTAGAGGTTCTGTCTAACACCTCCACATGTGCGGCTGCTCCAGCCTGAAAGGATTGGCTTTGTTGGTGGAGAGGCAGCACCATCCCTTAGAAAGAGCCCTCTACTGAGTGTTTGGAGCTGTGAGTTTAGGGCCCAGGCTTGTAGACCTGTTGTAACCTGGGGGAACCCCTTCTTGACTAACCATGCCCTGGAGTGGTAGGGAGAACACAGTGCCTATTCAAGTTTGTCTCCCAGGACTGGGTGAGAACCAAGGTGTGACAGTGCCTGCTGTGAAAGCACAGGAGCCAAGCAAGACCACTGTGGTGCTATGTCATGTGTTGTTCATAACAAATGAGCAGTGGTATAGACGGTTTTAAGATTCTTAGTCTTTTCTGGAAAACATGAAGACCCGCCATCTGTGCCTTTGAACCTGATCCAGGACACCTCAATTCTTGGGCTCCTTTGTTTCTAACATAGTTCCCTTGTATTTCAGGAGGTAAAACAGGAGATAAATCAAAGGCTGACACTTAGCGACTTTCTTATCAAGCCCATTCAGAGAATAACAAAATACCAGTTGCTCCTCAAGGTAAGAAGCTGAGTGCCTGGGTCTGGGCTGAAGAAACATCTCCTGAGGCCAAAGCTGGTGGACTTAGAGAAGCTCGGGTTCTGTCTGCAGTAGTCCTGAGGGGCCGAGCACTGGTAGGGCAGGCATGGGTTTTGATCTCATCTGCATGTCACTCTGTTAGCTTTGTGCCCAGATAAATTTCATGGACTTGGTTTCTGCCCTTAAGGTTGTATGTTACTTGATTTTTTTTTTCAGTTCACTTTTTTTTTGTCACAGTCACTGACTTGATACCTTTTTAAAACTTAAAAAAAAGAGAGAGAGAGAAAGAGAGTGCATATAATCAGAGTAGAATACAGAGGAGAAAAGAAGGGAAGGCAAGGCCCTAGAAATCTCAGATGAATTCGTACCTAAAATTTTATCATATTGATTTTACAGAAACATGAGATTAAATGAGAGACTTGACTTTCTTTTCTTTCATCCTGTCTTGTCATAATCTTCCTCTCCTTTCCCCTTCCTTCCTATTCCCCCTTCGCCCCTAGCTTTGAAACTTTGAGTATTCTTGGATTTTTCTCAATGTTGTATGTGTAACATGACTCATAATTTCATTTCTCAGTTACTACAAACCATTGCCACTTCTGCTAGGAAGAAAGTCTTTGGTGTATTGTTGCATTTTTATGATAAGTTTTTTCTAGCTCTCTGACCATTTTACTAACTGATTTTACTCCTCCTCACATCCTTCTCTGATTCTCTTTCTTGCTAGGACTTCCTGAGATACAGTGAGAAGGCTGGTTTGGAATGTTCAGATATCGAGGTACAGTTTCTGCTTATAATACTTGCCATTCTTGGGGACTATGCCAAATATAGCCTTGTCCATAAAGGGAAAAAATTATCTCAGGAGGACTGAGGGTTCAGGCTGACTCCTCTCATACCCAGCAGCATGAAGATTATCAAGTGCTAATGAGCATAGAGTGTTTTCTAGAACTCGAGAATTCTGTCTGTGCCAGTTCAGAGCCAAGTCTCTGCAGATATTCCTTGTGGACGTGGGTGACATATAGCGGGAAAGGGTGGTTTTTGACTCCTTTAACATCCTTCAGAGATAGGTGAAATTGTAGAAAGACTCAATTGGTGATTTTTCTCTGTGACTCCAAGTATTATTTGACTCTAACATAGAAAGTCTTCCATTTTACTCCCCGACCTGACCGAGGATTACCCCCCTAAGTGAAGTCCTTTGTGCCACCATGGGGATTATTTTAAGCCAAGGAGATTGCAGCCATTCAGGCAGGTTATTTTAGGTCAAAACATAGTGTTTCACAAACCAGGCTAAGTTGTTGCTTGGGCAGGCTGAAAGCAAATTAAAAAATAAAAGGAAAATAGAAAGAAGGAAAGGGAATTGATAAACAAAAGTAGAGAGGTAGGAAAAGGAAGGGCTGGGTAACATTCCCCAACTTATGGCTATTTATTGACATGGAGCCCCTGTGGTGATGACCAGCAGCCCCCATCTAAAAGAAAAATCCTCAGTTCTCTGAGAGTGGACAGCAGGGACCAACATCCTCTCCTAGAATAAAGGAGCTACTGATGTGGGGTCCTTGCCTTCATCCCTGAGTTACCTTGAGCTTCTCACTCCCCCACCTCAGCAACTATTATTCTTTCCCACAGAAAGCAGTGGAGCTAATGTGCCTTGTTCCCAAACGCTGCAATGATATGATGAATCTGGGGCGCTTGCAGGGCTTTGAGGTGAGTGAGCTCTCAGGTATGCTTCTAAGCCCTCCTCTTCTGGACAGTCAGAGTCCTGGCTGTGGAACTCCTCCCTTTGAAATTCGGTGTCCTGCCTCCTCTGCCTGGCCCTTCTGGTTCACATGCCTGGAAGATGCATCTTTTTTAGGAAGCCTAGTGACAGGACAGAAATAGAGCTTTTCGACAAACCAGAGTCAGAACTTTAAGGCAGTTGGAAAGACCCAAAGTTCTTTATACCTGTTTGAACCTGGCAATGAACTCTTCTCTCTTCCTTATTAATTGAGAAAAGTGGGGATGTAAAGCACAGGAAGATATGTGATGAGTGAAGAACCTGAGTAGGAAAATTAACTATTTTTTTAGAGGGCAATTCTGAAAAACAAGTGAGTAGGTCTATATAGCAACTGAATTAAGTCAGTGAACATTTAAAACTCTAAATTGCAGGACACGTTTTTGTCCTTTGAAAAGAAGAATCAAATCTTCAGGGAAACCACTAGATGTCCAAGGATTTCAACTTAAGTGAACATACCAGTTTCTAGGGCTGCCATCACAAAGTACCATTTATAGCACTTTTATTGGGTGGCTTAAGCAACAGAAATTTACAGTTCTGAAGGCTAGAAGTCTGACATCAAGGTATTGTAAGGGATGGTTCTTTCTGAGGCCTGTGAGGGAAGGGTCCATTTCTAGCCTCTCTCCTTGGCTTGTTGGTGGCATCTTTATATTCTCATTGCATTCTCCCTGTATCTTCACATCACCTTCCCTTGGATGTGCCTCTGTTCATTTTCCCCCTTTTTTACAAAGGTATCAGCCATATTCTATTAGGGCTCACCTAATGCCCTCAAACTTAATCACCTCTATAAAGACCTCATCTTCAAATAAGGTCAAGAGGAGCAGGTAATTGGGACTCATGGATTTGGGAAGGGAGATACAGTTCAACCCATAACAGTGAACCTTGCAAAAGTAAATTGACTTTCCTAATTTATACTTAATAAGTGACTGTTATGTACTGGGCACAGTGACTTATGCCTGTAATCCCAACTACACAGGAGGCAGAGATAGGAAGAATCTCAGATGAGGCCAACCCAGGCAAAAAGTTAGCAAAACCTCATCTTAACAGATAAGACAGAAATGTTAGCATGAGCCTGTGATCCCAACTATATGAGAGACATAGGTTGGAGGCCAGCCCTGAACAAAATCTCAAGACACTACCCAAAAAATAGTTAAAGCAAAAAGGGATTGGGGCATGGCTGAGGTGTAGGGTACTGGTCTAGCAAGCACGAGGCCCTGAGTTCAAACCTCAGTACTGCCAAGAAAAAAAAAAGTGTGACTTATTTTAACTATATATTTTAACAATATATTTTGAAAATTAATATGATAAAATTACACTGATATGGTTATTGATAGGTGCCTATAGTAGTTACTGATTCCCCTAAAGAAAGATGTGGTTCTTCTAATCCTGTTTCCCAGTAATCCTGCAATCTAAGATTTCATTATATGACCCAAGCCTTGTATGCACATATGAATAATAAAATTTAAAAAAAAAAGATTTCATTATTCCTTTTTGGAAGTTGAAATAATTAAGAAAGAACCATCCCTCCCCCCCCCCACACACACTAAACTAGAATAAATACACTAGTAGAACTATAAAGCCATAGTAAGTAAATTTAGGAGGTGCTGTGTTCAATTTGGGACCAGCCCATCCTGGTCCCTGCTGGTTTCCATGCTTTGTTATGATTGGAACCAGGTGGAAGGTCTTTTTTGCTGTTTGTTTTCATAGGTTCCTGGCTCTCCAAGGGTGACCTGAGATATTAGCATAAGCAGGGTTACTTGGGAGAAATGAGCTCAGGTGTGGTTTCTCTTTGGACATGCTGCAGGGACTTTTACACATTTTCCTTCGACATTATATACCAAGTATGAGGTGTTCTGAACAAATCAAGTAATCCATATCATTCTTCAACCTTGAAGTCTCCATGCTTTCTGAGTCGGGCTTGTCTTTCTCTGAGTCTAAGAACTGACCAATGACAGGAGGAGGGCATTAGTCTGTGCTGTTTGACCCAAGTTAGACTTCAAGTGCTTGTGTGTGTCCACATAAATCCACAAGCAGGAGTATGCAATTCTTTTTTCTTTTAAATGAAGCACCATGGTCTCCTGTTTCCATCAAGCTATGCAGAATCTTCTTTGCAGTCCTTCAGCTAATTGGGAAGGACAGTGAACGTATGTCTCCTCCCTAAGTGTGGGGTTTGGGTGAGGAGAACTTAAGACCCCTCTTTCTCATCCCCCTCTTCTCAAATCCTTTCCCTTTAGCATTGCTGTACACCATGATCGGGTTCTTGTGTGATATTAATAGAGCTTGTAGAGCTTTCCTGGCTTACTGGTCACTGGCTTAATATTAACTTTGGACCAAGGTACAGATAAGCCTGTTTGGCTGCTGACCTTGGCGGTAAGAAGCCATGATCCAAGCAGAGAGCAGGCATTTCTCAGGAACACAAAAGAAAAATGACCCCTGAGCCAGGTAATGTTTGGAAAAAGACATCACATGTAGGGAACAGCCCATGTTTGCACTAAAGGGCAAAAAGTCATCACCAAGAAAGAGTACATTTCAGAGGAGATCCTCTGACCACTGTCTTAGGTGTCAGTGTCTTCTTGTTGCAGAGCAACAGAAAAAAAGCAAGGCGTTCTGATCGCTTCTGTGAAGACTTGCTGGGTTGGGCCTATTCCCTCAGAAACTGGCAAGTCAAATATACACTTCCACCCCTTCTGGGTACCATGTGGCCTGGTAGCTGAAGTCATTTTATGAAAGATAACAGGACCCAGAGAAATATGTACAAGCTTATAAAATAGGACAGCCTATCTACAGTACCCCCATCTTCACCTATTGACTTTAGTAGAAGACTACAACTTCAGAATATCACCATCCTAAATAATAGAAAGAGGAGAGAGAGGCTTGTAGGGTATTTGAGGTCCTGCCTATATCACTGCCCTTGGCCATTGATTGGTTCTAGCTTTATAGCCTCAAGAGTGTCCCAGGTGCTTAGCCCATGCCACAAGAGAGCCAGTCAGGCACAGTTCTCAGACGTATAAGGGCAGAAAGACCACTTCTAGCTCCAAGTGTTACCTGCTTTCTAGTCTTCTTTTAATAATATTTAAAATTTAAAAAAAAAACATGAAGATTCAGAATATTTCCCAATTCCTTTTTAAGCTAATAATTCAACTTTCCTCTGGTATTTTCCAGGAGCTATTTATTTGTGGTTCCATCACCTTTTTCCCCTTTCCCTGCAGGGCCCTTGTGTGAACAGGAAAGTGACCACTGTGTCCTTGGATGAGTGTGTGGGTTCCAATTCAGTATATTACTAAAGCCCCAAGGCTTTTAGTGTCACCTCTGTTGTCCATGTCCCCAGAGGAGGAGGTTGTGTGGGTGAGGCTGTCTTCTTGCTTCTTCTCATGGACTTCTCTGGATCCCTGTCTGTCAGGGCACCCTGACTGCCCAGGGCAAGCTGCTGCAACAGGACACATTCTACGTGATTGAGCTGGATGCTGGCATGCAGTCCCGGACCAAAGAGAGGCGCGTGTTCCTCTTTGAGCAGATCGTCATCTTCAGTGAACTGCTCAGGAAGGGCTCCCTGACCCCCGGCTACATGTTCAAAAGGAGTATCAAGGTGAGGTGCCAGTGGGGGTGCATAGGAGCAAGGAAGAGCCAGGCTCTCAGCTGCTTCCCTCAGATCAGACACTGAAGTGAGGAGAACCCAGAACCTTGATGTCTTTCAGCCTAACAACCTGCCATTGTGGAGGCTGCAGGAGGAACTGATCACCCATAAGAGGCAGTGACAGGCGGAGGGTCAGCCCTCAGCATGATCCTGCAGGTTCTCCCAGGTCATGTTGTTCACTCAGAAACAAGCCAGAGTATTTACTGTTAGATCCAGGGCAAAATTTGGACAGTTTTCCTGAGATAAAAACTTTGAGATACAGTAATAGGTTGGTGATTTTTTTAACCACTTAAATATGAAAAAGATCAACTTTTTCTTTCAGATGAACTACTTGGTCCTAGAGGAAAATGTGGACAATGACCCCTGCAAATTTTCACTCATGAATAGGGAGACTTCTGAGAGGGTCATTCTGCAAGCTGCCAACTCAGACATCCAGCAGGCATGGGTACAGGACATCAATCAAGTCTTAGAAACACAGCGGGACTTCTTAAATGGTAGGTGCTGGACCTAGCAGGGCTGTTTCATGGGACCTCACACCACTAAGCATCCTTGAGTCTGAGCTCATGGAGACTTATGAGCCCAGATCATACTTTATTTGGACTCCAACCCTTAATTTTTAAAAACACTTGAATTCCTCTGAACCTGAATACACAAATCAAATAGGGCTTGAGAAAGAAGCCCCATCTTTCTGATAAAGGGATTTTATTTTATAGGACATTTCATGTGTGTCTGGTGGCCTCCACTACCAGCTGGTGACAATTTTTATAAAAGTCAGAGCTGTGAACATCCCCTGTGTCATAGGGGCCAGCATTCAATGACACCTGCTTTCTCACTTGGTGGCCAGTGGCTAGTACTCTTGCAGCCTTCTGTGTTATCTAGAGATATCTAGGCAGATCAGTTATCTGAGTTGGGCAGATCAGTTCAAACCCTGCCTCTGTTCCCACAAGAATAAAAGCCTAGATTAAAAAAACCTTGCTAGCTGATCTTATAAATGAGAGGTGATTGCTAACCCTGGATTTCAGTAGTACCCTGAAACTTCTCAGAACAAATTGGTGGTTAAACAGAGAATATAACTCTCTATGGGTTCTTCAGGGATCCCCTAACAGATGGAGTAGAGTTGCTATCCTGTTTATATTTCATTTTCACCCCTTCTGGGATTTCTTCACATTGAACTTGGCATTTGAAAGGCGGTACACAGTTTCAAATTAGTGCCGCTGTGTTGAGTTGGTAAGCTCAGACGTCTCTAGTGCAGAGATGGAGCTTGAAGTTGAAGTTGAAGGCAAAATGGAACCAATCACAAAATAAACCTAGAGATTCAGTAATCATATATCTGTATATGTATACACATTAACACACACACACACACACACACACACACACACACAGACACACATATTCACACAGGATCACCTACCAGTATATCACTAATTCTTGTCTGTCCTGAAATCTATACCTCATGGCTACGTGCACTCACAAATACATGCTCATGTGCGCACACACATATGACCACCCTAGGTGTTCCATCTCTTCTTGCCAGCATGGTATTAAAGCTTGTAGTATGTATGCCTGTGTGTTCATGCCTCCACATACATTTGCATGCACGTACACATGCATACTCAGGGCCACCCTTGGGTACACCACTTCTTGCCATATGACCATATGTACTCACACAGGTACACACACTAATGGGTCCTTTCTCAGTCTGTCATTTTTCTTGCCAATGCAAGGATCTAGGCTCCTTCAAAGGATGCAACTAGAGATTTTCTGATGTTCTAATATGGAACCAAACGCTGTGGGGAAAGATACAAGGTAACATCCTAGTTGAGGTCTTTGGGCAAGGGATGATGTGTCTCTGGGCCTCACTTGACTCAGTCAATGAAAAGGGGGTAGATCTACTCTTCCTATACTGGCATGTGTCATGGTGGGCCAGCAGTACTGGCCACAGGAAAACATGGCCTACCACCTTGCCATGTCAGTTTTCTCCATGGTAAGAAATTTAACATGTTTTTATTTTAAATCAAATAAAAAGAGACCACAAGGCAGGATGGCATGACTTTTAAAGACAATGTGCAAGGTCAAAGCAATTTCATACTTACAGAGAATATTTTTGGCCATATTGTCCTGCCCCACCCCAGCTGTAGAAAAGGTTGGTGAAAAACACTAGACTAAGTGATCCCTAGAGTTCCTTTTCTTTCTAAAAAATGGAAAATTAAACACCAGCCTAACCCTGAGGGATGGTAATAAAAGCTGTATATAGCTCATGGTCTCTCATAAGCAACTTTGAAGTAACACTTTCATTGATAGAAAGATTTGGTATAAAAATATGTACATATATATAATATTCACCTAATTGCATTCCATTAATTAGGAGTTTATGATAGATTCTAAGATGGAATGAGGATTTTAGGTTCAATTCGGGACTGAAGAAAAATAGAGTAGAACAGTAAGTTGAAAACGGAGATGTTTGAAGTAACAAGAATGGCTTCCATGTGTTGATTCCTACTTTGTACCATGAACTACACTAAGCATTTTAGCTATTTTTTGTTTTTGTTTTTATTTCTTTCATATTTATTCTTCAGACCAACATGGAACAGTAGGTACTGTTATCCTGCTTTTTTTCAGGTTTGGAAAAGGAAATTCAGAAAAGTCTCCACAGTCACAAAACACAATAGACGATGGATCAAGAGCTTGAGCCCAGAGCCGTAACATGTTAAATTAGGCTCTTAACCATAAAACTGCAATATAGTTGCTAGCGACAAGGTACACATTTATCTCTGAGCTTCTTAGCAAACAAAGTCAAGAAAGAAACAGAATCAGGCATAAGACACAAACTCATAAGCTAAAAAACTCTGTCAGATTTCCTGATCCTAATACCTAAGTTATGCAAATTGAGGCTAGTGAAAGAACTCAGGTCTTGCCTTTTTCGCAGCTTGTTTAAGAAGGCACATTAGGGCATGGTGATATATACCTATAATCCCAGCTATAGGTATATATCCTGCATAGGTATATATAGGCACAGGTAAGAGGATCACAGAGTGAGGCCAGCCCAGGCAAAAAGCACCAAACCCCATCTGAAAAATAACTAAAGCAAAAAGTGCTAGGGGTGTGTCTGAATTCAGACCCCAGCACTGCAGAGAAAAAGAGAGAGAAAAGTCGTAGTATTTTCAAATGCTTTCACACAATTATTGCATATAACCAGTCAGTACCCCAATTCCATGTGTACTGAGTCATAAATTTGGTTCAATAAGGCCTAATTATCATGTAAGTAAAGTACACTTACTTAAGTACTCTATGGTGTACTTGACTGTGCTTTGGGCATAGTCAATGATTCAGGCTTTTACATGATCCCAAAAGACCTTGCTCCTAATTATAGGGAATTATGGAGATATTGCTGAACTAGGTTATCATTACCTAAATATTTAATGTCCACAGAGAGCTCCTCAGGGCAGGGGCTGTGCTCTGGCAGGCCTGTTATGTACTTTGACACACTCAGGAAGATGTGGTGATAGAGTAGGGCTAGACTTTTACTTACAGAGATATGGAGACATCTTAAATAATTTCTTTCTCTCCTGGGACTTCAAAGAGAAAAGAGTGACCCTGTGTTGGGTCCTATGAAATGCATACCAAATACTGTAGAAATATCCTTAAAATTGGAAGTCTCTGGGCTCTGTTAACCCACTTAAATAGTTGTTACAATGTACACTGTTAAAATGACACTTAGACCAGTCCTGGAAATCCTTTGTACAGAATTCCACCTGGATAACATTTGCCTGGCTGTACCTCTTTAGTGCTCAGACCTGGAACTTTGTATCCTAAATTCAGTAAAGCAAAGCTCACATCTTTCCCTTCAAATCAGCTTCTTCAGAACCCTGTCTTCTGAATCGCACTGCTATCGTCCCACTCTCCAGCCTGAGTCACTTCCATTCCTGCTTGCCTTTCCCAGCTGGGCCGTCAGTCTCTTCCTCCTCCTGGCCTGCTCCCTGTCTCTTGTTTGTTACTATCTTGTGGCTTCTGAATTAGACAGGAAGCCTTTTGTCTCTTCTTCTCCAATCTATCTGCTAACTGGTGCAAGGTTAGTGTTGCTGAAATGTGGCTCTGACCATAGAGTTTGATTTTAAAACTTTAAAGTTAGGTGGTCTTGGTGGTACACACCTGTAATTCCAGCACCCAGGAGGCTGAAGCAGAAGGATTGCAATTTAGAGGTCAGCATGGGCCATGCAGCAAGACTCTGTCTCAAAAATCCAAATTCTAAAATCTAAGGGCTGGGGAATGCCATTCAGTGGTAGACTGCTTGCCTGGTATGCACAAGGCCCTGGGTCCAATATTTAGCACTGCAAACAAAAACAAAACATTTCAAGTTCACTGCTCTACAGAGCCAAGTCCAGCCTCGTTGGCCTCGTTTTCTAGGTCTTCCATACCATGTCCCCCCAATAGCCCTTACCTGTCTCTTCTCCCTCCATGGAGACCCATAACCCTATGGTCCAGGTAATCTGACTGCAGCCTATTCCCCAAACATATTACATTACCTTCCTTCCTGCAGTCTAAATGTCAGCGTGGCAGCCAGCCCCAAGATACAAACACCTGCATGTGCATGCATGCATGCACACGCACACACACACACACACACACACCTCACAACCTAATCTCCGCTCTCTCCTTTTGCACAGCACTTTGTACTTCGAATATGGTATCATTCTGAGTTTGGTTTTTCATTGTTTAATCAGGTGCCCTGCTACTCACAGTTCCTTAAAAACAAGAGTCTTCCTTACATATCCACACCATGCCTAGCACAAAGCCTGGTATCTAGTAGGCCTCTAGATCCTTGTAGGATTCCCAAAGCTTAGGGTAACTCTCTGTCCTTATCCTGTAGCACTACAGTCACCAATTGAGTATCAACGGAAAGAAAGAAGCACAGCTGTGATGCGGTCCCAGCCTTCTAGGGTTCCCCAAGCCAGCCCCAGGCCCTATTCCTCTGTCCCTGTGGGCTCAGAGAAGCCCCCAAAGGGCTCCAGCTACAACCCGCCTCTGCCACCCCTGAAGATATCTACCTCCAATGGCAGTCCAGGGTTTGACTACCACCAGCCTGTGGACAAGTTTGAGGCCAGCAAGGTAAGGACAACTTGTTGCTCCTACCCTCACCATCCTGAAATCACAGCCTCTGAGGTCACTTTAGGAAAGAACATTTTTTATGTTGATTATCTTAGCAGGAACAGTCCATTAAATATCCTCTAGTCTCAATTATCCCTTATAAATTGAGTTAGACCATTTCCTCTGGCTCAAGCACTCTGTTAAAGAGTTATTATCATCTACGGAAACTTTATAAATGTAAGGGATTACTGTGATAGCAAGCATGATAGTGGGTGAATTGTACCAAGCAGAGTGAGTAGTTGTGGTGTGAGTCACCCAAAAGTCATAGCTCCAGCGTTTGCCACCCTAAAAAGATAGCAACATTTAATGCAGAAATGCCTTAAGCACGATAAGGTGTTCTTCACCACTCATTGACTGATGAGGTAAGGAGAAGGTGATAACACATACTTCAAACACCAGTGTGAGGTTTGCTGTAAATTTAATCATAAGCCCATCTATAAAGCTGGTTTGACCCTCAAACATAATAGAAACAGGAGAGAAATGGGAAAAGTGATAGATTAGGAATTGGGTGATCTGGTTTCTAGTTCAAACTCTGAAACTCACTTGCTTTAAAATCTTATTATGGTCAGGTGCCAGTGGCTCACACCTGTAATACTAGCTACTTGGGAGGCAGAGATCAGGAGGATTGCCACTTGAAACCAGCCCAGGCAAAAAGCAAGACTCTATCTCAAAAATACCCAACACAAAAAAAGGGCTGGTGGAGTGGCTCAAGTGGTAGAGCACATACCTATTAAGCATGAAGCCCTATATTCAAACTCCAGTACCACCAAAAAACAACAAAACAAAACAAAAACCTTAGCATGGCACTTATAACTAACTACTCAGGAGGCAAACTCAAGAGGATCTCGAATTACAGTCCAGCCCAGGCAAAATTAGTGAAACACTAATCAAAAACAAAATACAGGCTGGGCACCAATGGCTCACACCTGTAATCCTAGCTACTTGGGAGGTTGAGATAGGGAAGATCATCATTCAAGACTAGCCCAGGGAAAAAGTTATCAATACCCCTCCTCCCCGTCCAAAGTAAAAGCTGGATGTGGTGGTGTGGCTATCATCCTAGCTACCGTGGGAGGCTTGTGGTCCAGGCCAGCCTGAGTAAAAACCGAGACCTTAGCTCCAAAATAATCAGAGCAAAAAAAGACTGGACACATGACTCAAGCTGTAGAGTACCTGCCTAGAAAGCATGAAGACCTGAGTTCAAAACCCTGAGTGCTGCCAAAAAAATATACTTTCAAGTATGTTTATGAATATTATGTCACCACTCAAGGAGTGTCCTGTCTGCTGTTTATCCTGCTATTAGGAGATTTGGCTTTCAACTATGCAGCAGAGTGCAGAGCAACCGACGTGAACCAGCCTCCTTGTGTCTGTGTTCCTTTTTCCCTTGTCTCCTAGCAGAATGACCTGGGAGGCTGCAATGGGACCTCATCCATGGCTGTGATCAAAGATTACTATGCACTGAAGGAGAATGAAATTTGTGTGAGCCAAGGTGAGGTGGTCCAGGTCCTTGCCATCAACCAGCAGAACATGTGCCTGGTGTACCAGCCTGCCAGCGACCATTCCCCCGCAGCTGAGGGCTGGGTCCCAGGCAGCATCCTGGCACCCCTCAACAAAACCACAGCGGCAGCAGAAAATAGTGACGGGAGCATCAAGTAAGTGCCTCGTTGGCTCCTCTGGGAGAGGAATATGTGAAATAAAAAAACCAAAAGAACACAAAAAATGCAAACACACAGTAGGGAATTACTGCTGCTTATTCTTGACAATACCACTGGAACAAAGTGTGAGTGAGTGCTGGACCACCTGCAGCATGGGGCATCCATGCAGGATTGTTCTGGGTTTTTTTGTTTTTTTGTTTTTTGGTGGTGGTGGTGGTGGTGATGGTTTTTCTTTTCATTTATAATTTTCTGTTCATTTTCCCTCTCTTTTTCCCCCCATTTGTTAAGAAAAGAGCCCTACTGAAACCCTAGGTGACAAAAGGCTTGCCTTCCGTTGCTACATTTGACCCACCATGGGACTCACTGGACTGGACTTCTATTTATATTGTATGAAGTTACTGATATCTATATTTTTTGATTGACACCAAAAAATGACCTTAGCACAATACCAGACCTGGATAGGTCAGAGGCCCGCTGCTGCTCCCAGGAGAGAGGGAACTTTTTGGTTGTCTGTGGCAAATCCTCTGTACAGATTGTAACTTTTTTTTTTTAATTTCTCCTCTCCCCTGTCACTTTAATATATGTTCATGGTAATTTGTAAAATATTTCTTTTCCTTATTTTGGTTGTGAAGACCCTTCTGAACACATTCCTGTATAAAGTATTTTGCACTATTTAAAGAAACCCAAATGGATGAAGTCAGGTTGTGCAATATAATGGAGAGTCACAATGTTCATCATTGTACCTGTAATGTAACTAATAATTTTAAGTGTACTATTTTAAATATGTAAAATAAATTTTCACCATGAGCATGTTTTAATGAGGTTAAAAACTAGTTGACCCTTTTTCCCCCCATTTCATTGTTCTCAGACTTTTGAATGTACAAATGATTCTCTCTCTCTCTCTTTTTTTTTTCTTTGCTTTTCTATATTTTAGGGTTTGGTTGAATGCATTGGCAGTGTTTTCCTACATAACCAGTGCCTTTGTTGCTAAAACTCTGACCCTCCCTTCCCTCTAAACAGCCCCTAGGGTTTTCTCTGACTTCCTAGATAAGGAACCATGTAAATTCCATGCCATTCTGTTGAGGTACTGACATAAATGGATGGCTAGCGTAGAGGCAGTGATGGCTTGCTTTCCCCACTGCTCTCCATGCTGCATGGTCACCCATGGAAGGGGCCCAAGCACCCCTGTGAGATGCCAAAGCAATGATACCAGCAGAACTGCACTGCCTTGGCCCTTTCTCTAGGTCAGGGCATGGGAGCTATTGATGTCACCCTGGCCACATGGAAATCATCAGTGACCCCTAAGGTGAAATAGGCCCAGTCCATTTTCTTCTACAGGTACTTGTTTTGGGTGCCTTTTAAGAAGCCTTGGAAATCAAGGCTGTCAGAGCACGGAGTTATTAATCAAGAGTCTTGCAGAGCTAACTCTTAATGGCTTGCACTCTCAGTACCCAGGCACCTTTGTGTTTGTTGATCTCATATGCATACCTTCTGTGGAGTCAGGGAAGGGGGGTCAGGGTGGCAGATGAGAACAGACTGAAACATACACTGGTCATTTGGATTCCTGACCAGCCACTCTTACACAAGTGTTGCTGGTAGTAGAAGTGAACAACTAAACATGGTGTCAGTGTCAGTGAAAGACACTCACCGCACTCTCCCCAGGGCTTTCTACTCAGAGGTCAGAGTTGGTTGTGATGCCCACAAGATAAATGTCACAAACCCCACATCCACATCAGCCCTCAGGCTTGCAGCCAAGAGATGGAAGCTTCCCAAACCATGATGATGTGTTCTTCTGGGAAGAAGAATCTGAAATTGAGCCTGTCCTGCCACTGTGCTGCTGTGAATGTTATTTTTAACACTCCCTAACTTCTCACTAAGCATCCTGAGGAGACTGGAAAGTGGCAGTGAACATAGGAAAGCATTCCCTGTGCATGCACACATACACACTGTGCCCTCTACCCTGAGAGCCTTTTTGGCAGGGACCTCTCTGACTCAAGATGTTCTCAGAGGAGCCAGGGACATGAGTTTGGGGGTAAAGATATGAGATGAAGGTCTGCAGTCAATGGGGCAATGCCCCTAGAGGGTAGCTTTCAGTCCTGGTTCTCACTGAGGCAGAGCACTTGGAGCAAGGGATCGACAGAGCCTGCTGGTCAGGAGTAAGAGACAACATGTGGCCTTCTGAAGAAGTCCACTTTCCAAAAGATCCCAAAACAGGACTGGGACTGCTTTTTCCTCTTTGGGTTACTTGTGGAGCCTATGTATTGAGTGATGAGTATTTTTAGGTCACCTCACATGGGCTATCCTAAGATTCCTGACACATGTGGAGTGCTGTGGAGGAGATACTAGCTATTTTTTTTTGGATTATCTTCTTTTCCCTAAATGAATTATCTGCCTCTCTCCCTGAATGAAGGTCTCCTCCCTGGGGCCCAGTCTACAAAGGCCCACATTTAACCAGGAGACACTGAAGGGAAACCAAGCCTCACTCCAGGCAGTGACTGAAGCTTCATCCAAACTTTATGTCCACAACTGAAATGATGCCTGCTCAGGGTCCCACATGCTGTTATGACCTGACTTTTTAGTTAGGTAGATGTTCTGAGCTTCTCTTTATATACCCAAGAAGTAACTCCCAAACTCTAGTGGGAAAGGAGTTAGGTCAGTGGGAAAGGACACTCTGTCTCTGTCAATTCCCTGGGAGCACAAACGGGCTCTGGTTCCAGCAAGGAAATTCTAGGACCTCTTAGTGACAGCTGAAGCCCTATATTCACAAACACTGAGGGACATGGAGAACACTTTGCCCTAATATCCAGATTTATGAGTGGTGATCACCTGTTGATTAAGTCACCTGACCAGAAAATGTTGGCTGTACTACAGTGTTTGAGAGTGGTATGCCCAAATACAAAGAATCATCTTTTGGGGGGGTCTTTATATCTTGGTTTGGGAAAGTGCCAATGGCTTGTACCACTCCTACCCATTCTTCCCTATCTTACAAGGGTAAGAGGAACTCCTCAATCCTAGACGGCTTCATCAAATGATCTAAAAACCTCCCTGGGTAGTTTAGTGGCCTGGAAGTCATATTTTCCCGACTGCTGCAGTCACCCTGTGCATCTTTCAGGAGGAGTCAGAGTTCATCCTCGTTCACTTCATTTGGAGGTGAGGTAAGCTGTCAGCCACCACAGGAGCTGGCATGCAGATTTGGGGCCTCTGAAGCCAGCGGGCTTGACTGGAGTACCTCACCTCACTCACCCAAGGGTGGTGAGCCCGCCCACCACCTCACTCTGCCCCAACCCGCCATTTTGATTAGTGCATTTTTTGGTACAACAGGAAGTCATGTTCATGGCATACTCTACGCATGAGAAAGCGGGCAGAAGTGGAGAACACGGGTAAAAATGAAGCCACAGGGTCTCGTAAACCCAAGGATATTCTGGGCAACAAAGTCTCTGTTAAAGTGAGTAAGGTATTCCTGAGCTGGGTCCCTCTCATCTACTCTCATCCTGCAGCACTCACAAGACAATTTGGGTGGATGGGATAGTTTTTGTTTTTGTTTTTCCCGGTGTGGGGACCAAAGGGGAAGTAGTTTAGTGGGATTTTGCATGCAAGATCGATTTATTTTTCATTTTTTATTTCTCCTGACATCTTCAAGTAAGTACCTCTTTTTGTTTTCTTTTATTCTTTTCTCTTTACACTATGCAGATGTTTTGTAGCAAAATTATCTGCAGCATTATTTTCTTAGAAATTCCAGATGCCACCCATTCAGTGTTTTAGGTTTGCAGGTTATAGGGATTAGGGATGTCCTCCAAACCTTTCATGCCACAGAGGCTGAGGTTTGAAGTTTAAGGGATACAGCATCCTTGGTAAAGTTTCATTTCTTTTCCCCAGAGTTCAAATGATACCAAGCAATTTCCCTGCTCCCCCAATGCACAGCTGGGGAAGCGAGACACAAATTACTGCTTTGTAAGAATCCATTTATTACTATGAACTCACCAAACCTGAGCTCAAGCTTGAAACAATATGATCTGCCTTGTTTAAGTTGAGCCTTCTGAAAAGATGTGCCTCTGGACAATGGAAATTAAACACTGATTATTTAATTTTGTTATAATGTGTGATTATCTACTTGCTACTTTGCTCCCCAAGCAAAGAAAGAACAATAAAACCCATTCTAACATGCTGCTTGGGGAAAAGAAATTGTATGCTCTCCTTGGCCCCCATCTGGGAAGTCCAGCCTCACCGGAAAAGATAGTTTCATTTCTCAGCTCTCATGCTTCATTTGGTTGCTTCCATTGTTCTTCCCTGTGAAATAAGCAGCTGTCCACAGACCCAGTCTTCTTTCCCTAAAAAGAGCATGCTGCTACCATTGGCAACACCACCCCCACCTGAAAGCTCTTGGTTGCTTCTCTGCCTGATTTCCCATTGCCCATGCTTCTCTGAAGTTCTCCTTTCTCACTAGCCAAAGCTACTCAAGTTCTAACTGTGTTCTCTTTCTTCCTCTTCCTCATGCTGCCAACCAAGGAGACGAACAGTTCCGAGGAGTCAGAGTGTGATGATCTTGACCCTAATACTAGCATGGAGGTAGAAGCAGCTATGTTGTCCTATTTCCTACAATGATTTCCTTTTTTTTTCTTTTAATGTGTTGTGTAACATTGACCTTGCCAAAGGAACTGGCCATTCAGGGATAAATTTTGGTGTTGGGGAATCTCTAGGTATCCCATCCCAACTAAAACAAACACTTAATTGAACTCTATTTTGGTAGAAAACTCTACCTTGGTATCTTTTTTAAAAACAAAAACTTGTAGTTTTCTTGAATGCTTGCTGAATATTTTCTTCTTTTGAAGATTTGGCTTTATGTAGAAAATATCCACCTTCATTATTTGAAATTTAGAACATTTTTCATGGACTGCAGCATTGTTAATAGTAATTGGTTCCCAGCTGAAGGATGAGAACGTGTTCCATGTTTTGTTCCTCTTTCATTTTCCCCTGCTCTCCTTTTTCCTCTTTTTCTCTCCCACTTTATCCTTTTAATCTTGATCTGCTGCTGGGATATATTCCTTCCTCAGTGCTACAGCAAATCCATGGGTTAAGTATGGTTTTGTGGGTGACCTGGATCCTAGTCACTATGTGTAACTGATTAATAGTAAATGAGGTATGGAGGTGCAACTCTGGGACATACCTTTGCCCTTCCAAGACCTATGGTCAGTGGCTGTGCCCGCCCTGTGAAGGAAAAGAGGCCCGGGGGACAGCTCCCCTCCCATAGCCTTGGCAGAGGCCTCTTGAGATGATGAGACTGGAACCCACATGGGGGACCTTTCCCATCCTCCAGGTTTACTGGTGTGTAGGAGATGAACTAATCTCTACCAGCACAAGCATCGACTTCTGACTCCTTCTATTCTGTTGGATTATAGAAACATGCCTCTTATGTAGTTGCGCTTAGAGACAACTATCATAAATAAATTCATAATCCTAGCAGAATTAGAGCAAACACGAGTCTGGCTTTCCTTGCTACTTTGTCTTTCAGAGTAAATTGTAATGCTTTCCTCAAATCTGTGCTTCCATCCCCAGTAACATGTAAAATCTTAGAGATTTCTTCTAAGTGAAAAACTTCCTTTGTATAGCCCTACACATTCTACTTATCTAAATAGCCTTTTATTATTCTTATTCTAATTTGACCTAATACCAAAGAATTCCACCATCATATTATGATAGCCACCATAAAAACCAAGAGAGACCATGGTCTAAGAATGTGTAAGCCAGCTGTGGAAGAAGCCAAGTTAAATTGGACAAGAGGCAGTTTGAAATATTCTGCCAGGACAAAATGGTCCCCTATGGATGCAGGTATTGGCACAGAGCTAAATCTGGAAGGTGTGGGCCAGCAGTGTTCCACTGTGGGAGGAAGTGTATATGGCTTTCATAACCTAAATGTATCTTAAAGAATGGGGAGGCCAGGGGAAAATTTCTGGCTCTGCTTTCCTTCCATTTCATAGGATAGGCATCTGTGTCCATGAGTCCCACACCTGTCAGCTTGCAGATGTTAGTGGTTACCTCTAACCCTAAGTATTCCTGACTTGTATTGAAGATGTCAGCTGCAAATAAAGGAAAGCCAGACAGAGGAAGGGAAAGAACCCTCTGTATTCCAAAAGGCAACTGGGGACTTCATCCAACTCTAGTGGGTGGGGAAGAAGAGTAACTTGCCCATGCTGTAAAGGAAGAGGTGGGCACAGAGCGATGTGGGACCAGGTGAGCAGCACACACTGGGGACATTAACTTGATGTAGTCAGATGTAGTCAGAAAATTTGGTGTGTGTGTGTGTGTGTGTGTGTGTGTGTGTGTGTGTTCTGCTTTGCAAGTTGAACATGTTTTTAAAGTTCTTACTCACCCAAGGCTGGCAGCCCTTTTTATGGGTTAAATGAGATGGGTCCCTGGGAGGTGCCATGGGGTGGATAAACAGACAGTAGGATGTTCATGTTGAACAAAGGAAGGCCAAAACTTATGCTGATGCATAAGTGGGCATGCTATTGGAGTTGTAAATGCTCTGGTTGTTCTAAAGTTTCCCTAGTATGTGTGCATGCACTGTGTGTTCCATGTGGACACTCTTAAGCATCGGTGAGCTCTGCTGAATGTGCTGCCATCCTGGCATCAGCTCTGGGTACATGAGCAGGCAAGGGAAAGTGACATATTGGCAGTGTTTGTTTAGTATCTTTCAGACACAAATGACAACAGAAGGTCAACTTGTTCAACATGACTTGAGAATTGTCCCCAGGGATATGTAAGTGGGACTTTATTGTAGCAAACAATAAAGAAGAAGAAAATGACCATGAATGTGTACTGTAGATATGATTTGAAAAACAGGTGGGCAAGCCACCTCTTGAAGGCCTCTCATTGCTACACTGATCATTTGGGACCTGTTCCCAGAGCCAGCCTATCCCCCACCCTTCTGAACTCAGTGCTCCAATAGGTGTTGTTTCTGGGAGCATGTCCTGTGCTCCTAGTGAGCCGAATCCTTCCTGGCCTGTGCTGAGCCTCGTTCCTGGGACCCCAACAGACAACGTGGCACTGTGTGCCTAATGCGTTTTCTCTATGCCAGGTCTCAAATGTGAAGTCCTGCCCTGCTGCCTGACCACCCATGACCTGATGTCTGCATGTGCATTCCAGTCCTTGTGTACAGACTCATCCCCTACTGCCAAGGGAGTGACATCACCAAGGCATCCTTTACTTTCTCTCCATTGATGGACTAAGTGGTCCTGTAAGGGCCAGTTTCCTGGAGTCTTTACTTACACATCAGATGCTTGCTACCCCAAGTATACATCCCTGTTACACCACAGCATTTTGAAAAGACATATGACATATTCTTGAAAGGTAATTAATAGGGAAATAAAGTTTTTTGACTTCTAGGAATCTGACAAAGAACATTCAGTTATGGAAACAGAGGTAGTTGACTCTACTGTTTACATCCTTTTCCTTCCCTTGTAAAGACATGCTTGTGGATATTCTCAAGTGCAACCCCCACTCCCAACATGACAGGCCACACCACCAGCCACAGCAAGATTGGCTCTAGGTCTGTACAATCCCCTGGTGACCTGGCTTTCCACCCATCTGTCATCACACCTCATGGACAGCAGTTCTAAAAATGATGAGTATTTGTCCATAGTTTATCTTTACCCTGCATTGATTAAACTTTGGGGTGTGAGTGAAGGAGGCATTATATGTGAGAGAAATTTTTCACATGGAAGAAAAGCCAAATCAGTGAAAATCAAACACTAGGTGCCTCAGAAACAAGTTAATTCATTTTTTTCCTAGTATAACTTAGACAGCTGACTGCCATCCTTGGGGTAGGAACCATATGCCCACCTGCCAGTTTCTTCAGTCATATCCTGCCCTGGTGTCTGTGCTTACAGGGCCAGCATCTACCCTCTTTTAGCCACTGCCCATCTCTAAGAAATCTGCATTCTTTCTAGGCGGTACTGGATTTCCCTTTGGTCCGAGGCTTGACACTTCCCTACCACCTCTGACAAGCTGTCTGAGGACTGGGTTGTTCTTGCATTCTTAAACCTGATCTTCACCCCCAGCATTGCCACCTGCCTGCATCACACAGTGGAGTTGAAAAGGCCTGAACCATCCTCCTGGTCTTGGGGCTTGTCTCCAAAGATGAAAATTCCCAGCCTAGCTTTTATGTCAAACCTACTTAATCATACATATTTTCATTTTTTTTTAAGCCCAGTACCACTCATTAACATAGAAAGTCAGTCCTTCAGAGTAAGAGGTTTTCATGGTTCCAAAAAGGCTCTATCTCTGTGCCAGCCATTTGATGTGCTGCCAGCCTCATCCATGACACAGACTGAGTGTGGACATTACACTTGCTCATCTACCAGCCACCAGACACTTAGCTCAAATGGTTAAGAACGGGAGGAATCTTGGAGAGAGAACTCTTGGTATAGTGAAGGTAATTTTGGGAGAAATTTCCAGTCACAGTCAGAATCAGAACCTTGGAAGCCTTTTAACTTGCCCATCCCCTTCATTTATTTTTTACCATTGTAAAGTATACATAACATAAAATGACCATTTTAACCTTTTTTTAAAGAACAATTCAGTGGCATTAAGTACCTTCACCTTTTGTGCAGCCATAACCACTATCCACTTCCAGAACTTTTTCATCAGCCCAGACATACTGTGTGCCCACTAAACACCAGCTCTCCACTCCTGTTTGTCTCCCCAGCCCCTTCACTTTTAAACAAGGAAATTGAGGCAGAGGTAGTTGTAACTTTCTGTTAAAAAAAATTAGAAGGTGGCCAGGCATGATGATGTATTTTTGTAATCCCAATTACTCCATGAGTTGGAGATTGGGAGACTCGAGGTTCAAGGCCAGCCTGGGCCAAAGGTTTGCAGGACCCCATCTCCACCAACAAGCCACGCATGGTAGTTCATGCCTGTGATTCAAGCTATGAAGGGGGTATAGGTGGAAGTCTGGATCCTGGTCCAGACCAGCCCCCAGGCAAAAAACACAAGACCCTATCTAAAAAATAACTCAAGAGGTAAAGTACCTGACTAGCAAGCATGAGGCCCTGAGTTCAAACCCCAATATAGCCAAAAAAAAAAAAAAGCCCACAAGGTACCCTGAGACAGCTTCTGGTTCTCCTTGGCCATTGTCCCTTCCCCTCCCCCCATCTCACACCATCCTGTAGCAGCTTGAAGCACTCCATCTGCAGGTTAGTTTTAATCTAAAACACAAATCCTAGCAGCTAAGAAGGCCTGTCTTCCATTGCCAATTTTCTGTGTGAATGTGCTATTCAGTTTTCCGGCTAACACAGAGGAATATCATTTCTGCCCATCCTGGCCTTTCAAGGCTGAATGGTGATTTGAACAAGTCACCCAAAGGCAGTGTCCCATGGAAAGAACACCAAACAGAAGTCAGGATTCTAGTCTGGAAACTCCGCTGTGTGACCTGGGGAGTTAGCTCTTCTGAGACTGGTATGCAGTCTTGGAATGCTTCTTAGACTTAGGGTGTATGTCAGGGAACTTTGCTCAGGAGCACAACCACCTCTGAAGCTATGAGACCTTGGCAGAAGAGGAAGTGGAAT